ACGGCTAAAACATATTATGGATATAGGCTATTAATATTTGTTTGTCATTACAATATGAATGTACTATTTTCCTCTTTCCTTCTCTGCAGAGTGTCAGTAAGATCCTGCGTGGAGAGTGCCTGTACCGTGAAAAGCGCTGCTTGTTTCCCTGGGCTTCCCTGTTTGTCTGGGCCGTGCTGCAGAATCGTGATGAGATGGCCACTCTGTTTTGGGAGCTGGTAGATCTCATTATTTGCTCAAAAAATAATCTACCCACTAACTGCACTTCTGTAGCATTTTTGTTATTTACTGTATTTACTTTATATTTTTTATGTGCAACTTCCAGGCAGGGGAGTCTGTACTCAGTGCTCTGAGTGGCTGTAAGATTTTGAGAGAGCTGTCTAAACTGGAAACTGAAACTGAAACCAAACTCTCAATGAAAGAGCTCACCCAAAAGTTTGAATACCTTGCACATGGTAAAGTTGAACCAGGCAATGTTTTATTTTTTATGTGGTTTTAAAACCCTAAAATCCTCTATTTTTTTCCCTAAGATATTTTCAGCTCTTGCTATCGGAGCGATGAGAGTCGCTCTTTTACTCTGCTCATTAGAAAATCTTCAGTTTGGGGTGGGACAACATGTCTTCAGATGGGCATGAGTGCTGATGCACGGCTTTTCTTCAGCCATGATGGCGTGCAGGTGAAAGCTGCATACTGTAGCTTTTTGTATTTAAAGGCAGTGTTCATTGTCTCGTATTGTTTTGTAACCCTGTTTCCACTCCCAGTCGCTGCTGTCCCAGATTTGGTGGGGGGACATGAGGAGAGACACAGAGGTGTGGAAGCTGCTGCTCACCTTCTTCTGCCCTGTGCTGTGCTACACCAACTTGATCTCATTCAGGTCAGTGTCACAGTGCTAAAGGAAATGGCTTAATTAATAAATATATTAAATAATTTCATATTGTAACCAGAAAACAAGATGAGCAACACCGAGAGAGTGATAAAAAGCCACAAGAGGATTGTCCCCTTCGAGATAATGAAAGCCTTTATGGTGCTACAGTCTTCTCTTTCTCAGACATCAAACACATGTAAGTATTACCTCTCCTGGGAAGACGAATGTTTGAATCACTCTAGGCTGGTCATTTTTGTTGCAACACTCAAGAGGAACCTGAAAGGAAGAAAATGAGTCATATGTTATTTTTTTTAGTGAGGCTGATGACCAAGACCCAAACTCTCAACAGTGGAACAGTGCTATTAAAGGTATGACTCAACATTAATGGACATATCTAATCAAATTCTACTGGAAAGAAAACACTGTTGTATGTAACATTTTTTTAGGGACACCTCAGTATTACATACCCCCTAAGCGGCCCTTCATAGTGTCACGGTGGCGTCAGTTCTGGTTTGCACCTGTCACCGCTTTTTTGGGCAATGTGTTAATGTACTTCCTTTTCCTGCTGCTCTATGCCTATGTTTTGCTGGTGGATTTTAAGTCCCCGCCGCCTCATGGTCCTGCCAAGACAGAGTACCTTCTGTACTTCTGGGTGTTCACTATTGTGTGTGAGGAGATCAGAGAGGTGAGAAAGTAAAGTATTTTTGATGCATTTTAGTCAAACAAAAAAAAAACTTGATTGTATCTTTTATCTTTTATTGTATCTTTTAGTATCTATTATTTAAACAAGTATTTTTTTCCCCTTTAGACTTTCTTTCAGGGTGCTGTATCATTGAGGCAAAGACTAAGAGTGTATATTCAGGATGTATGGAACAAATGTGACCTCACTGCAATTGCACTGTTCATCATTGGGCTCATTTGCAGGTATAAAACTATTACTATTACCATTATTACACATGTAATTGACATCTATTTTTACATTATGAGATTGTAGTATGTTATTAGTGTGGGTCACATTTGGCCACTAGAGGGAGACATTACACGTTATTCCTGTATATGTGTTCTAGGATGTTTCCCCTGTCTTATGGATTTGGCCGCGATGTCCTGTGCATTGACTACATGGTGTTCACCCTACGTCTCATTCATATTTTTGCCATTCACAAACAACTTGGACCAAAAATCATTATTGTTGGAAAGATGGTATATCCTTACACATCGCATTGAAGTCTGTATTCTAGGAGACAGGTTTGTAAATCTGTTTCTTTCCCCTCATAGATGAAGGACATCTTCTTCTTCCTCTTCTTCCTTGGTATTTGGCTTATGGCGTATGGTGTAGCCAATCAGGCTCTGATTTATGCCTATGACCCTCGCTGGGACCGCATCTTTCGCAGAGTTTTCTACAGGCCCTATTTGCACATTTTTGGACAGATTCCAGTAGAAGAGATGGATGGTAAGTTTCTGCAGTTCTGGTTTTGTAGCATTTTTTTTTTCATTCTGAAGATGACACAACTCAATACAATGCTTTAATGTTATATTTTATGTTTTTCTGTCAGTCTTCGCCAAGGAATGGGACATGCCTTGCACAGATAACATCACCTTGATTCAGGAAGGGGCAGAACCCTGTCGGCTCGAACACAGTAACTGGCTTGTGGTCATTTTATTGGTCATTTATCTTTTGGTCACAAACATCCTGCTCATAAATTTGCTCATTGCCATGTTCAGGTAAAAATAACTTTGAATTACAATGAATTATAATCCCTCTTCAACGTTGTAGTGACTTGAGTTTGTCCATGTAGCTACACCTTCTCTGAGGTGCAAGCCAACAGCGACATCTATTGGAAGTTTCAGCGTTACAACCTGATCGTAGAGTACCATTCCAGACCCTCTCTGGCCCCACCTTTCATCATCCTCTCCCACATTAATCTTTTTATCAGAAGAAAAATCCGCAAAGTGCCCTCTGTCAAGGTTTATCACTTTGGTAAGATTGTATTAAGTAAATAATGTGGTTATGCTTCATGATGCTATGGATATATCTTTGCACACAAAGCAATATAGTAATTTGTGCTTTATTGGCAAAGTCTTGGAATTAAGAGGAAAAGCAGCTAATCGATTAATGACATGGGAAACCATACAGAAGGAAGACTTCCTCACAACACAGAACAAGATTCAGAAAAACAGTGACTCTGAGCGTCTCAAAAGGATGTCAGCCAAGTATGTATATCTGACAGGTGGATTTAAAAACAATGATGCAATACACAATGATTTTTTTAAATTATTTTTTTATAGAGTGGATAATGTGATGAAACATTTGACTGAAACAAGGGACATTGATATGAGGCTCAGGACTTTGGAGAATGAGGTGGGATTTTTTTAAATCTACAGAGTAGTATCTATTTTTATTACACATATTACAAAAGTAGTTGCCTATTTTAAGTTATATGTGTCCCACTGACATGTTCTTACTTTGCATGGAATGTTTCACAGTATGCTGTTAAAATTATTAATCTCCATGGAAACTAGCAAATCTATGGAGAGATGGGCCTGCTCACAGTAATAATGAATGTTCTTTAAGATATTGTTAGCAATCAAAACACAGGTAATTGAAGAAATGCAAGATGAGTAATGTGTTTAATGCCATACTGTGGAACATTTCAGGCAAAGCAATACCATTTCCTTGCATTCAAGTGGGCAGTGGACCCGTTAAAATGTACCTAGTGCACCTTTAAATGTAATTTTGCTCTTTCTTGTAGATGGAGTACTGTTCTAATGCGTTAAGCTGGATTGTTGACACATTGGTGCAAAGTGGCACTTTCAAACCAGCTCGGGCCCCTCCTGTCTCAAGAGGTATTTATGTTTAACATATATACATGTCACAAATCCAGTTTAACTACACTTCTATGTGCTTTAGTCTCTGTTACGTTGACCTGGTTTGATATGCTCCTTATCACAGATTCACCTGATTTGTCAACTCAGTCTACATAATGAGTCTGCAGTGGCCATTGGATTATGGAATTGACTTCAAGCATTAACTAAAACATAACATTTTTAAATGTGTAATTATTTTGCCCTATGCAAAATTTGGTTTGGAAATGTCTTTATCCCCTTGAGGAGTTAAAAGCATCTTAAAATAATAATTTTTTAAAATGTTTTTATTTTTTATGAAAATAAAAGTAATATTGTTTGTTATTGAGTATTAATTAATATTAATAGCAGCTTGTTAAATGTGTAAAAAGGTTAGTTGTACATGATGCATTTTCATATTTACCTATTAACACACTTTCACAGATATGTGCCTTTACTGCACCATGCACTTTAAAGAAAGAATACCCCTGGACTGACTTGGCGATGTCTGGAGCAGTGGCATGTGCATAGTACTTTAGAGTAACACTATTGAAGGTCACAGAGTACAGCATTCAAAGGGACTTTACTGTAAATAGCTCATGTGCCACCTGTCTGCTGCTCTAATGGCCCGCACTGTGCACAAGTGTCATCACTTTCAGCTTTCTGAGCGTTGTCCGGGCGTCTGGACTGGACACGCACCAACCTGCATGGTTCTTGTTTTTGTAAATTTTAAATGATGAAATCCTCAGCCATGCACAGCACACCTTTAATACCCATGATTCAATTTGATAATGCAGAGTCAAAAGTACACAGTGTTAAATATGTCTGTGGCATATCTGTATGGGCACATGTCACACGTGTGCCGCCTTCTCCATTTCCTCCTTACATCTATGGCATGCATCATTCTGCCATATGACCTTGATTAATGAAAGGATTTTTTAAGTGAATGAACAAAGACCAAATCATGATTCCAGGTGTTCGTGACACTGACTGAATGAGAATGTATAGTCTTTGGCATTACTGAACAGTTGCTTTTGCCATTACACGAATCAGCACTTTAGACCTTTTCAATGTAGTTTGATGAAGTATAGTGTGTGAAAGTGAGCTGATCTTCTCTCATGTTCACATGTTCTTTGACCCCTGAGTCCCCTCCCATGTCCCCCTTCCTTCTCCGCTTCCCCTCCCCCCTTCCATGTCTCCACACTCTCTCCTGTAATACACTGGGTTAAGGGCATGTGTGGCTCTCTGTTCTGGCCATGTGCCTCTGTCACTCACTCACATACAAATGCACAAGCACACAGCACACTTCAGTTTGTTTCCACTACTCAGGGGAGCAGGCGGTCTTCTTTTAAACTACATTGATTTCTTTTATACCAAACGATAACTAATAATATATGAATTGGTGAAGTGATTGGACTTTTAATATGGCTAATAAGAACTTCTGGCTTGTCTGTCTTTTGTTTGCGCTCCTGTGCCCATTTCAGGCCCGCACAGTGAGCGCACAAGAAGTGGAAGATGTTGAAAGCAAAGAGGATGTTGTAGCAGAATTTGGCGAAGCAACTGAGGAAGAGGGAGAAGTACAAGAAACTGGTACAGAAGAAGAGGCCGGTGAAGAGGCAGAGGAGGTGGATGAAGAAGAAGCAGAGGATGATGATAATACTGAGGAATCTGTAGAGGAAGGCACAGAGGAAGAAGAGGAGGTTGAGAAAGAAGAGAAGGGCACTGAAACAAAGGAGGAAGAAGCAGCAGAAGATGCGGAAGAGAAAGAAGCAGTCAAAGAAGAAGAACCAGAGGATGCAGAGGATGATGAGGAGGAGGGCGAAGCTGCTGATGAAGGAGAAGATCAAACTACTGTAGAAGAGGATATAGTTGAGGATGGAGAAAATGAGGAAGAAGAAGGGGATGAAGAGGACACTGAAGATGAAGGTGAAGAAGAAGCAAAAGAGGAGGAGGAGGAAGAGGAGGAAGAAGCAGTGGAGGAAGAGGAGGAGGAAGAAGCAGTAGAGGAAGAGGAGGAAGAGGAGGAGGAAGAAGCAGTACAGGAAGAAGAGGAAGAGGAGGAGGAAGAAACAGTAGAGGAAGAAGAGGAAGAGGAGGAGGAAGAAATAGTAGAGGAAGAGGAGGAGGAAGAAGCAGAGGAGGAGGAGGAAGAAGCAGTGGAGGAAGAGGAGGAGGAAGCTGATGATGATGATGATGACGACATAGAAGATGAAGATGAGGAAGAAGCAGAAGAAGAGGATGAGACTGAAGAGGAAGAAGAGGATGATGAAGAGGATGAGGAGGATGTGGTTGAAACTGCAGATGAAACTGAAGAAGAGGAAGATGATGTCCCAGATGAAGAGGAGGAAGCTGAAGATGAAATTGAAGGTATGACTCGCAGGGTCTCTACATGTTGTTGAAATGTAGTCATTATTTTATTTTTCATTAATTACTTTTTATTTAGATTTAGTTTAGTTTTCATGAACATTGAATCTTTATTATGTTGACAGAAACTAAATAAAATAATTGACAGACAAAATTACCACTGTTGTAGGTTACAATTTAATTCAGGAAGTTTGCCTTTATATTGAAATCTTTATTAATATTATTGCTTCTGTTCTGTGAAGAAGCTTTTGTCACTTATGTAGGTCATTCTAGTGCCAGGCATAGCTGTCCTAAAATAGACTGGAGTTATCAGTGTGTATGCTGCCAAAATACTCAAACAAAAAACATTCATACAATGTACAAGCAGTAAAGGTACATTTGTACATCCTGTAACAATAATGTTTTGGTTTGATTTAGACTGAAGACTTTGGGGTGAGCTGTTTAAAGTGGTACAACAGTGAAATAAAAGACACACTGTCAGCCTTCACATGGATTAAATACAGTAAAACAAATATCACTTTCCAAAATATGTGTATAATATATATAATAATACCTTGCAATTAACTGAGTAGCCAAATTATACTCATATAAACTAATAGCTCCCTTAAAATAGCAATATTAAAACAAGTAAACAGACTAAATAAACTTGACTAAATAATGTCATTTAGTAACTGTAAGAGTAAAAAGTATTTGGAATGTGAAAATACTACAAGTTGTTTTAACTGAATACTAAATCTACCCCAGTCTGTTCCCTCAGTGGGGAGTGAATGAATAATGCACTGCAAAGCACTTTGGGTGTCTTGATAGGCATTATATAAATCCAATGTAATCTTGTTTATAAGTGATTTAATATTGTACTGTTTGTTTGTTTGTTAACACAGTTTTATTTTCACTTCAGAATATATTGCGTACATGGCAGCTTTCACTCATTTCACAGAGGAAGTGAATTCTGAGCATACCACAGAATCTCATGTTATAGAGTTAAGCTGACAGGTTTACAAAGACCAAAGCCAGTTCGACAGATCCCCCTGCTGTCAGATGCTAAGATAAAGCTTTAAACTGTTACATGTGGTAACTTAATCTGTTTTTGTCATAACAATTCAGAATCCTTTTGTAACTTTCAGCATTCAATCACAACAAACTCCGGTTCAAGCTTAGGTAAGGTGGTAATGTTCTGCCTTCTGTTATTTAGATGATTTTGAAGTTAAAGGAGAGGAAGCCACAGCAGGTGGACTTGACTTCCAATCAGGCTCAATATGTAACGTTTGCACAATTTGTGATGTAAGTAAAAACTCCCGTTTGTTCCTGTTATTTACAGTGAAAACAGCCTGACGTTTATTTGTTCTTTTTGTTATGTAGTACTGCGCAGCGAACTGTGGCCATTGCCCCTGTGAAGATGGGGATGAGTCAGAACCTTGTCAACAGTGTCAAGTAATGTCTAAAATATTTATCAAAAATACCTATCAAATACACTATCTGTAACAACTTCTAATGTGTTTACAGGAATGCACATCCTGCTATATCTGCCCCTTGTTTTGTGATACGATTTGCTCACCAGGTAACACCTATAAATATAAACAATTACAATTTTACGTAACTTGACCAATTATCTTTTGTTTCCTTTTAGGCGGCTTTGTAGATGAGATGTCAGGCTCCTTGTTTCAGTAAGAACTTTATCTGAACTCTTATCTTCAGTCGTAAAGGTGCACTGCATAACTATTCTGATGGAGAGTCCGCTACCTTCTTGTCTCCATGGAGATGTTATTAATTTGCCTGGAATGTTCCATGGTGTGACATTAAACATATCTTATCTGGCACTTCTTCTTTACGGGTGTTTCTATTGCTCAAAAATACAGTATTTATTTCTGTGAATAGAGACGACTCTCCACAGATCTGAACCATAATGTAGCTTAATGCTGCAACCTACTTGTCTAACTTGCAATATATAGGTTTAATCTATACTGTGGAACATTCTAGACAAAACTATAATATTTCCATGGAGACAAGCAGGTGGTAGACCCTCCACTAGAAATGTTATGCCATGCACCTTTAAATCTTAACTTTCTTTTTTTTCTTTTTTTTATTAAAGGGCATTATGTTAACTTGTATGTTTTTAAATTTGCAGGACTGTCGCTTCTTATTTTTGAACAATGTGGAATTAGAGAAGATCCCCTTGCAGTCTTCATTTCTGGAGAAAGCAAAACATCATTATAGGAATCTTTAAATTGAATTTGAATAGGATGTTTTTGTTTATGAATGAATTGTACAGTATTTGCTGAAAAACACGATTTCTTCTTTGTTTCTGTATTGCTTAATTGTGGGCATATTTTCTGCTTGGCTCTTCTGGAAGTTTACACCCCAAACACCAGGTCACCCGGTACCCTCTCCTCTTGATGTCCTTCTTTGTAAAACCTCTCATAAGTGACTTATTTTAAAACACATTATATCAACTAAGGCTGTATAACAGTTCTCTTTGTGTATTAAGTGGTGTACAGTGGCTTTACTTTGATCTCATATAAAAAGACCCTTTGGAATTTTAGGTTTTTTTTTTTCTTAATAAACTTTGCTTTTTCTTATATATTTAAACAGTTTTTTCTTAATACAATTTGAATTTGGATAATCTGGGAAATTTTTTGAAATGTTGACTTTAGCGTAATGTAATTAACTTTGCAGGTATTTTTTGTTGGTAAGTTGCTCTGTAATTATAAGATACACACGAGCAGTGTCCTCTGACTTCAGAGCACACCCTGTTTTGGAAACTAGGTGCTGATACAGGTTGGTAATGATGTGTGTATGTCAGGACACACTGACAGGCAGAACAAGTTGAGGATGTAGTGTATACTAATAATTAAACAACACATAGAGAGTTACTCAAGTGTCTATGTTTATTACAAACTTTACTTTGAATAGAAGCTCATAAAAATGTTTACTATCTCCTTCTCGTCTCACTGAAACCTGCTTATGTGGCACCCTGACATCTGAGACTATTCACATGTAGAGTAGTTTGTCACACAAACAGTTAAATACAGTGCAATGCAGAGTACAATGCACAGTACAATGCAGCGTACAATACACAGTACAATGCAGCGTACAATACACAGTACACTGCATGTCCGTTATATGTTTCAAAGGGTTTTGAGTGAACTGGGCGTTTGAAACATAACAATACGTAGAGCTCTTTGTTAGAAGGGTTTGGTTTGTTGCTGTAAAATAAATGGGGGCAAGGTCTGTAGAGTTTAAACTTTACAGTGAGTTACAGGTTATAAAAACTACAGCTTAACTACCTTTAATAAAGCTAGAAGACAGACTTCGTTCATAATGAATAAATTATTTATTAACAGTTCAATGAGAATAATTCAAATAACTTAGATTCTAAGTAACTATTTAGATATGGTATTATCTTATTCGAAAATGTTACCATTGAGGGCTTTATGTACACTGTAAAGAATTTCTCTGTAAAATAACAGTAAAGAACTGGCAGCAGAGACGCCTGCACATTACTGTTATTTTACAGTATTTGTACAGTGAATTCACCTCACGGCATATTGCTGTAATAGTGAATTACAGTATATTTCTGTATTTTTTTTTAATTTACAGTAAAGTTCTGGCAGCAGAGACGCCAGCACTTTACTGTTATTTTACAGTAATTTGACTTTACATCTTATTATTGTTTTGGTGAAATACAGTATATATGTGTGCTTTTTTTTTTTTTATTTACAATTAACTACTGGCAGCAGAGATCCTCCAATATACTGTAATTTAGTAGTTTCCATACTGTTGACCAATTCACAGTAAAAATAAAATGCAGTATTTCAGTGATTATTTTAATTTACAACATCCTTGGGTTACTAAATGTTTACTGTAGCCAAGGATAATACAGTGACTCAGCACTTTAGAATATCTAAAATCTCAAAATTCACTGCAATCAAAATTAAAATTGTTCTGTGGACTATGGCTTAAACCTATGCATAATAACCAATAAACAATTTACAAAGGATATAAATCACACAAATATTTATTGAAACAGGCATTGTCAATATGAATACTGTTACTGTAAAATACAATAATAATACAAAATAATAATAATAATAATAATAATAATAATAATAATAATAATAAAAAAACAAAAAAAATTTACATGACAAGTCAAAGAGATTCTGAGTAGCAAAATAAAAATAGCCAAATAGTGTCTGCAGGATGCAATGGCAATTAACAAAAAATTCTCAGATTGCATGTCAGAGACCTTACCAAACATGAAAGCACAAAAAAAGTTATAACTGTTTCCATACTATTGTTTAACAAATACCATACTGAACTTTACCTTGGATCAACCAATTGGGCCAAACACTGAGACGACTAATACAAAGGAAATGAGTGTTTAACCTAGAAAGAATTAAGGAATGCTTATATGCTCTCAAAAGGCAGTTTAAGTATAAATTTACTCCAGTGTATTCTCTGCTGTTTGCAAATATGCATCACTAAGAACATCTAAAAGTATGTATCAATAACAACATTTGTAAAACACACTTTTCCAAGATTTTGAAAATGTATATTAAGACAATTGTGAAAATACACATCAGTAAGAACTTGTCGAAAATAGGCATCAGTTACAACATTTGGGAAGAAACTGTAGGTAAGCTGTTTTTTCCTAGTCCTGTGAGGTACATGTATATGTTCTATCAAAAAGCAATTATATCTACAGCATATAGATTTACTGGAATGTATTATCTGCTGTCTATAGAACTATACCTCAGTAAGAATTTCAGTCAATGGCAACATTAGGGGGAAAAAACTATCTAGTCCTCCTGGTTCAGTCATGGGATCAGTCCTGGTTTAGAAATATTCTTGTGCATAGGATAGAAATCCGTGCATATTTGTCTGTAGTTGAGCATAAAATAAATATTTGTAAAATCTCAAATGAGTCCAGTCGTACATAGAATGTATTGTGTGTATTTTATCCATCAGAATACAAATTGAAAAGTTACAACATCAAGACTTACAATCACGAAATGAAAATTTACGATTACACTTTCTTCAGTACGAATACAAATTCACAGACACAACTCGACTGTCAAAAATACAACATCATTTCACAAGTAGAAGAAACATCAATCGAGATGCCGGACTTTTGGGCCGCATACGGACTGAACCAGGTCTAAACCAGGACTAAAACAGGACTACACCAGGACTAAACCAGGACTGAACCAGGACTGAACCAGGACTAAAACATGTTTAAACCATGTAACCATGCATCTCGATTGATGTTTCTTCTGCTTGTGAAGTGATGTTGTATTTTTGACAGTTGAGTCGGGTCTGTGAATTCATATTCGTACTGAAGAAAGCGTAATTGTAAATTTTCATTTCGTGATTGTAATTCTTGATGTCGTAACTTTTCAGTTCGTATTCTGATGGATAAAATGCACACAATATATATTATGTACAACTGGACGCATTCGAGATTTTACGAATATTTATTTTATGCTCAACCACAGACAAATATGCACGGATTTCCCAAATATGCACAGATTCTATGCACACAAATATTTCTAAAAGCTTTCTTACTCCATAGTTTTAACTCTTAAAATGGGTCTCTGAGGTACTTTTACTTCTTAAAGGAGTTCTGTGACATAGACTCATGTTTTAAACTTTTAAAATAGTATGGTGAAGTTTGCGTAGCTTTTAAACAAGTTCTGTGAGTTAGGCTTGTGCTTTACCACCAAAGAGTCCCGTAAGGCTTGTGTTTTACCTCTTAAAAGTAAGTGCATTCGTATGAGTAGGTGTGGACAGTGATTCAAAGAGGAATCATCTCAGTCATGGAGAAATGAGTGTCACCAGGCTAGTTGTTGTTCCTCTTCCTGGCTTTATTCCAGCGTTGCCACTCTAAACAGCAACGAACACAATAATCAAAAATAAGGGACGTACAATAACATTACATCCTTCGTAAGCTAGGTAACCATAAAATAGTTATTGAGGATAGTTTCAGACGGAGCACTACTGAAGGCCTAGGTGTGAAATGCACGCTCTGCCACTGGAATTATTATTATTATTTTTTTTTCCATGAGACCACTTTTCATCAGCCAATTTATTCCTGTGTGTGTGCGTGTGTCTGTGGCACGCAGGAGACCAAATAACATATTGCAACAGACAGACAATTTAGATAAATTAAATTCAACATTTCAAGAAAGCAAACCCATTTTCAACAGTCTAATTGTTACAAAAATCGTTACGCCTCATGTAAAAGTTGTTTTACCAAACAAGGATTAACGTTAGCTAACTTGCCTCAACTCAGTGTTTAACACATTTCATTCAGACTCGACAGAAAGTAAAATAAACTCACCACAGCATCTCTGTTCTCTGTCATTTCACTATTTCCTCATCCATCCATAACCCCTTAATTAATACACTCTGCTAGATGTAAATATGTTCTAGCTTTAATTCATGCACCTCTTTCCCTCCTGGTTATGCTAACGTGACTGTGTAGCATTAACTGAGCTGCTTTTGTCACTCGTTCGAAGGAAGATCAGTATATTAAATTGACCATAGCAAAATCAAATGCAAAAAATAAATTACAATAACACACTCACTCACTAGATAACTTGTTGAGCAACAGTTCGATTTCAAACATGATTTTACTTGTATTCTCTTGGCAAAGACAGTTTTTACTTACCGTTTTATTTGTAGATGCACAATCCGATGCAGAGGAAGCAGGTCGTCTTGCAACGCATGTCTCCGATGCACTGGCAGTAAAACTTTCCCTCGCAAGTTTAGCGCGCACCAGATTTAAAAAATACTGTAGTTTACTGTGATTTACTCTGATTTATTACATTGACATACTGTTGAAGGCATGTGTGCTGTTGCTTCACGTTCAGCAGCTCACAATGCATTGCAAATTACAGTATAAAACTGTATTACAGTAATACAGTATATTACTGTTGGAAATTGGCCGTAAATTTAGAGCAATTGCTTACAGTGTAAGGTTTATTTTCGTTCTCATTTAGGTACTACACCTTAATTAGATGTAATAAAGCATACCTAATTCATAAAATATTACTGGATAGGAGTGTTAGGAGTTAGGATATCAAGGTGTTTTTAAGTCTTTCTTCATACTTCAAGGCTATTACTACTAATATTACTACTTATCTTCACTATTACTACATATTATAAAGTGCTTTGTTTTAATCAGATCTGAACCACTTTTAACACTTACACGGGGATCTAGTTTGATCTCAAGGTGTTGAATAGACACAATGGTCATTGTGTCTCCCATATACATTATGTTGTGTAAACAGTAAACTTTCCTCCCATCATGCACCTCTTCAACTTTATAAGAGCCACTTGAAACACTGGGGGCCTTTTAACTCATGTAACCTTTGAAAGCTGTTGAGAATCCCCCAAAAAGGTAAGATGAAGACTAATCTAAATACTACTAGTAATAATACTAATAATTCTAATAAGCCACTTTTGTCTCTAAAATTTTATAAAAAATTCTTACCCTGTATCAGTATGTAGGAACAAATTGGTCTGACTTTTAAATTATATTTTTTGTGTACTTTGAAAGAAATATGACAATTTCTTAATTATGAATATAGTAAATGTTTAAAAGTGTTTTCTTATTTTATTTAGATGTACATGCTATTGACTGTGCTGTGCCTCAGTTGGGCCATTGCTGGTAAGCAATACCACAATTTTAATAACTTGAGTAAAAAGTTTAAAATATCTTAAAATTGCAAAGTTTGAATAACGTTGCTAATAAAGTAATGTTTGTGGCAGATGGCTCAGAATGGTGCTATACTGGCTGTGGTGAGTTCACTTTTTTATACAATGTTTGATCTTCTAGAAATATTATGTCTAGAAATTATTATTATTATGTATATTATTATTATTAAGTGTATGTTCTTTTTTTTTCTTAGTGAACACCCCAAGTAAGTGGCCTGAAATAGAAGGTGGACACTGTGGAGGCAATAGACAGTCCCCAATAAATATAGTCCGCACTAATGTTAAAAAGGGTGAACATTTGGGAAACTTCACCTTTGTCAATTTTACATCTCAAGAAGTCTTTGACAACATTGTGAATACTGGAGAAACGGGTAGGCTAATATATTTCTACTTTATATTACCTAATGAATGCACTGACCTACTGTATATTTATGTGTGTTACAGTTAAAGTCAATCTGAAAAAAATGATGGAGTTTCAGGGTGGTGGACTAAATGGGACCTATATACCTGTTCAGTTTCACTTTCACTGGGGGGAGTATGATGATCTCCACCCAGGCTCAGAGCACCTCATTGATGGCAAAAGATATGATATGGAGGTGCATGGGGGGCTATACCAGCAGTAATATGGTAAAAATATTCAGCAAACTAATAATAATGTATTTTTGTAGATGCATATTGTGAGTCTGAAAAAGGGTTACTCACTGGAACAGGCATTGGCAGACCCAGAAGGGATAGCTGTCCTAGGACTTCTCATTGAAGTACATGTTCACATCAGCCTTACAAAACAAAAGGTCTACATGAAATTTCCATTCAAGTGGCAGTAAATTACTTCTTTTCTTTTCATAGGCAAATGAAACTATGAGCAAGTCAGAGCCATGGATCAACCTCACATCTCACATAATGAACTCAACAGGTAGCCTTTAGTTACACACTGACTGGGACATTTAATATTTTTAAGAGAAAAATGTGTTATAGATCTAAAAATAAAAATTACAGGTGGTAGTGATGCTTTCTTCCAAATAAATGTATTGCTTATTTCCACAGAGGCTGTTAATCTGACAGATGCAATTTCGATCAGTGATTTGATTGGAGAAGTGGACCTCACTAGATTCTACCGGTATGAGGGCTCACTGACCACTCCCATGTGTAATGAAGCAGTGATTTGGACTGTCTTTGAGGAGCCCATACATGTCAGTGCTGATCTGGTAAGTCCCAGCTGTCTTACACTTGCTGAACTTGTTGATTTTCTATAGTTTTATCTGTGTTCTTAACCTCAATTTATTGTGTTTACTTATATTTTTTTACTTGTGTATTCTTATATTCCATTTTTATTTATATTGTTAAGCTCTTTGGGGCAGTACTTACTATTTTTAAATGTTCCAAACTGCTAAACAAGCATAGACCTTGTCCTTGACCATGACCTTGACCGTGACCTTGACCTGAACTTAAACAGATGAAACTGTTTATCTACACGAAGGAGCTTTTTGTTTAAATGAGCAGGTGAACGTTTGGGTGGAATCATGCTCCATGTGACTCACATCAGATATAGTTTGATGTGTTTATCTGATGACAGCCAGTGGAAGATAAATCCACCTCCACAAGGCCTCCTGTCTGAAACATGTCAGGTGTACCGACAGGTGCACTGCCTATTCAAAACAACCACATAACAATGACATACACTAATGTGTAGCAGTGTTGTTTTTGGCTCACGTAAACCAAGTGAGACTTCAAATCAAATTAACATAAGAAAAGACGACTTCTGTAAAAGCGGTATTGTGAAAAATGATGTATTATTTTAGCTACTGTTTTCAGATAATCATCAGTGAAAGGACTGTGATCATAGTGGCAAACAATGAGAGAAGCTACAGAAATTTTCTGTAAAAGATGAAGTGACAGTAGATAAAATACCAAAAGCCTCGTGTCTGCTGAGATACTGATGGTGTATTACAACCTTGATTTTCTGGTTTAACAAAATAAGACAAAAATCAAAAAGACTAAAAATCTTCTTAGTATTGGTATTTTACACACACACAATTTACTGCAATGTGTCCTCTTTAGCTTCAGCTTTTCTCCACCATAACAAAAATAACTAATATCTATCGGCCCGAACAAGATCTTAAAGGTCGCAAGGTGTATGCTTCTCCATCAGTGAAGCTCCCTTCTGGTGAGTCAACATCCTTACACATTCTGGTGTCACAAAAAATCATTGTAAATGTGTATTATGTTTTTTTTTCTTTTTAGCTCATGAGTGGTGCTATGACAAACATGAATGTGGTATGAACATATAGTTTTTTTGAAAAACAATAAAAGGATTATCATACTGAGTTTTATCATACTTTAAAAAAATTATTATTATTATTATTTTTTTTTCAGATCATGGTCAAGAACTGTGGTACACATTGGCACATTCTTTCTGTGGAGGGACGAGACAGTCTCCTGTTGACATCACCTCAAAAGATGCCATGGTTAACGATCTGCTCAATTCCTTCAATTTCAAAAATTTTGACCACAAAAATGCCATTGACTCTGTCATTAACACTGGTCATACAGGTTTGTTAATGATTATTTTGCCCATTATAAACTACTACTACAGCAGCACCCATATTAAGTTGATTGAATAATTACAATGTTGTGCAGTCAAATGCGTACTGAAAGATGGCCTGGTGGAAGTGTCTGGGGGAGGTCTTGGCCATATTTACTCTGTACTGCAGTTCCACTTTCACTGGGCAGACGTCAGCTCCGACTCCCGGGGCTCAGAGCACCTTCTTGACTCAAAGAGATTCCCCATGGAGGTATTGCACTGTGGTATTACACTGTCAGTTTGTGTTGTAACAAGTGATGAATGTAATTATCCGTGAAATTATTATATCAAGATGCACATAGTGACAAAGAGGAAGGATCTAACGTTGGATGAAGCATTGATGACTGGCAATGGACTGGCAGTGCTGGGATTCTTTATTGAGGTGACTTGACTTGGCCTCATCACACACTCCTGCACTCTCAGATCTATTCGTGTATTTATGTGGCTGTTTTGCAGATGTCTGATGGTACAAAAAGCAGCAATGCAGAAGAAACTCCAAATCATGTAAGTAATTTGTAGGACAAAACCGTATAATGTTACATATGCATATTACACAAAACTGACTAATTTTCTTTGACTTGTGAGGTGGTGTTACCTCTTCAAAAACATGCCTAAAGTTGTGTTTTGTTTCATTTACACATTTGAGTAATCCTAGATTATTAGTCTGTCTACATCTCCAAATCTTGAAATGCTCTTTTCTACATTGTATGTGATGAAGCACTAATTTTCAACTGCTGCTTTTTACTTTTACTTCAGTAGAGATTGCCATTTCCAGAGCTAAAATCATCCAAATTATTGTAATGAAGGTGTATGCCATTGAAGATACATATTTTACTGTGAACAACATGTAAAATATGGATCTGCATATGTTATAATACTAAATACCCCTCCCAAACAAGCATAATATGCCTTCTTTAAAGGAGGAGAGCAGCCAAACAACAGAGACTAAGGCCTGGAAACTTCTCTCAGGCTACTTAAGTGACATCCAAGAGATAGGTAGCTTTCATTATTTGCCAACATATTACTTCAAAACTCAGAAAAGGTACCATCCCTTATGCAGTACACAATATTTTTAGGCACCGAGGCTAAGTTCACTTCCGAGGTCTCCATTGACGACCTGCTTGGTGATGTGGACCGTGGATCATACTATCGCTACAATGGCTCCCTGACCACTCCGAGCTGTAACGAAGCTGTTGTGTGGACAATCTTCAAACAGCCCATCCAGGTGGAGCAAAGTCTGGTACGTATGCTATGTATGCCACACTACTATTATTGTGCTATTACTGTCTGTGTAATTGGGTTGTAAAAAAGAAAAAAGTATTCAAATGTGGAGGTGGATATAGTAGTCAAAAATGTAACTGAAGTACCTTTACTTCAAAATAGTATTATTCAATAGTAGTACAAGGTAATAGTCCAAGAAAAAATATTTGTATTATTAAAACTACTACTCAGGTAAAAGTAATTTAAAGAGTTACTTTTGTAACATCTGATTTATAATTCGAAGTTAATTTGAAGTTGCAATTTGATGGATAAAACATTAAATAAAGCACAAAATCTGCTATTTTCTAAATTCAATTCAATTCACAAAAATTAGAAAAATTAAATAATATCTGAAGGAGCAGTGCAAGAAACACAAATACTCAAAATATTTTATATTGTCAAGATAAAGCTTTTATCACTTGTAGACCAGAACTTAAGGAAAAGTAATGCTACTTCATTAATAATATAAAGTATCAAGTAGGAGTAAAATGATGCTGCTAGAAAAGTGCAATTTCTAAAAAGTTACTCAACTAAATGTAATTGAGTAAATGCAACTGAGTACTACACACCTCTGCTCAAAAGCATTCTCAAGTATTCAAAGGCAATTACATTACTATAATAATAATAAGTAATAATAAGTAATAAGTATGTACTGATGGGAGACTGACTGTAAAAATCACCTAAAATCATAATCCCATTTGATCATAATCTCAATCACAAACCATATCCATAAAGAGGTAAACTGGGTGACATGTCTTGCTCAAGGCCAGGACACTAATACAGATAGTGTGGAATGGAAAAATAGAAGTAGTTCATTTTAAACACACTGCAGTGGTCCAAATGTATTGCTTGTGTTCTGAGCATTCTAATTTTCTAATTAGCACTCCAATAAGTTTACAAGCTCTAAAACCAGAACAGAGTTTTTATTGTCATGGTAAAGCAAACAGTAAATCAAACATTACAACCCCAATTCCAATTAAGTTGGGACACTGTGTAAAACTTAAAAAACATACAGAATACCATGATTTGCAAATCCCTTTCAACCTATATTGAACTGAATAAACTACAAAGACATGATATTTAATGTTCAAACTGATAAACTTTATTGTTTTATGCAAATATTCACTCATTTTTCAATTTGATGCCTGCAACACATTCCAATAAAGCTGGGACAGGGGCAACAAAAGAATGAGAAAGTTGAGAAATGCTCAAAATCCACCTGTTTGGAACTTTCCACAGGTGAACTGGTTCATTGGAAACAGGTGAGTGTCATGACTGGGTTGTTTCCCTGAAGGGCTCAGTCATTCACCAGCAAGGATGGGGCGAGGTTCAGCACTTTGTGAACAACTGCGTGAGCAAATAGTCGAACAGTTTAAGAACAACATTTCTCAATGTACAATTGCAAGGAATCTACAGTCCATAATATCACCAAAGAAGAGAAGAGAAATCTCTGCACATAGGCAGCAAGCCCGAAAACCAACACTAAATGCCCGTGACCTTCAATCCCTCAGGCGGTACTGTATTAAAAACCGACACGAATATTTAAAGGATATTACCACATGGGCTCAGGAACACTTCAGGAAACCATTGTTAGTTAACACAGTTCGTCGCTACATCTCCAAATGCAAATGAAAACGGTACCATGCAAAGCGATAGCCATATATCAACAACGCCCAGAAACGCTGCCGGCTTCTATGGGCTCGAGCTCACCTGAGATGGACTGACGCCAAGTGGAAAAGTGTGCTGTGGTCTGATGAGTCCACATTTCAAATTGTTTTTGGAAATCATGGACGTCATGCCCTGCGGGCCAAAGAGTAGAAGGACCATCCGGATTGGTATCATTCAAAGCGTCTGTGATGGTCTGGCGGTGTGTTACTGCCCATAGCAGGGGTAACTTGCACATCTGTGAAGGCACCATTAATCCTGAAAGGTACATACAGATTTTGGAGCAACATATGCTGCCATCCAAGAAACATCTTTTTCAGGGACACCTCTGCTTGTTTCAGCAAGACAATGCCAAGCCACATCTTGCACGTGTTACAACAGCGTGGCTTCGTAGTAAAAGAGTGCAGGTACTAGACTGGCCTGCCTGCAGTCTTGACCTGTCTCCCATTGAAAATGTGTGGCGCATTATGAAGCGCAAAATACGACAAAGGAGCCCCCAGAATGTTGAGTAACTGAAGTTGTACATTCAGCAAGAACGGGAAAGGATTCTTCCTGCAAAGCTTAAACAATTAGTGTTCTCAGTTCCCAAACGCTTATTGACTGTTGTTAAAAGGAAAGGTGATGTAACACAGTGGTAAACATGCCACTGTCCCAGCTTTATTGGAATGTATTGCAGGCATCAAATTGAAAATGAGTGAATATTTGCATAAAACAATAAAGTTTATCAGTTTGAACATTAAATATCATGTCTTTATAGTTTATTCAGTTCAATATAGGTTGAAAAGGATTTGCACATCATTGTATTCTGTAGCCTATGTTTTTTGAGTTTTACACAGTGTCCCAACTTCATTGGAATTGGGGTTGTACATGCAGATAGTATACATGCTCTTACATCAATACCCTCTTGTACAATATATCTGTATTATAGAGCTAGACATACTCAAATACCTTAGTGAAAAATGTGTACAGGAAGTTTTTGCTACATGATGTCTTCAAATAGAAAGAAAATAGTTTTGCCTCTCTAAAAGAATGTGACCTATGTCAGGTACACCTACATCCACAGTCACCAGTTCTGAAGAACTCATGACTGTCAGCCACTAAGATAAGATTGATCTACTGTATTATTATTTGGACATAGTGACAAACAAAACAATACAAAAACATGCTTAAACAATGATCAAATCTGTATGCTAGTAATAAAGAAGAATAGTTTAGCTAATTAAAATACATGCTATTTTCTACCCCATCAGATTCAACTGTTCCCAACTAAAATGGAATATCATAATGTGTACCGATCAGCACAAGATCTCCATGACCGGACCATTTACACATCCACAGCGGCTGCTTCAAATCTCTCCACTCTTCTGGTTGTGCTGCTGCTCACCTGTGCACATGTCTTGTGAGAACAAGGCTGATATGATCAGAGTACTCTCAGTAATATCACATTAGAGGTTCTAGTCCTAGCTGCTTAATTGTTGTAAAGAAAGCAATTGTTTAATGTTAATGAATCAGCAACATATGATCAGCTTATGTATCATACCCTGTGCAGATTTTGTTATGGTGGTGCTTGTCTTTATTTATTATTTCAATGTTGAATGTAGTTCTTAATGGTTGTTTCACTTTGCACTTAGTTTTGTTGGAGCACTTTAAACACAAAAAAATTATGACTCAGGTTAGTCCACTTCGTCCACCAACGTGAATGTCTGAATGAATTAATATTTTGAATCAGGTGCTTTTTTGTGTCTTTAGGCAAGACCCACCTTGTCAAGTGTGAATTGGGTGTGCGTTTGATTGGCCTCGCTTCTGTCATTATCAAAAGCGGAGTGAATGAATAATGGTGCCTTTAGAAATAGTATGTTGTGAAAACTATGCTTAAAGGTGCACTGTGTCTCCATTCACTAGAGGTGTTTCTATTGCTCAAAAAAAGAATCATTATTTTTGTGAATATTGGCGACTTTCCACAGATCTTATTTTTAACTTAAAGTAGTGCTGTAACCTGCTCGTCTCCCTTGTGATGGATAGATTTAATACTATACTGTGGAACATTCTAGACAAAGCAATAACATCTCCACGGAGACAAGTTCATTCATGAGATTCAGTGCATCTTTAGTGTCCAATACCATTTTAAGCCATATTTTTCTTCTTGAAATTGACTCAAAGGTAATCAATAGAAACTACCTAATTGATTTCTTATTGATTTGGGGAAAACAAAAGGATTTCTTTATATTTAAAATGTAGGTTAACCGTAGCTGAGACACATAATTACAGATGGAGCAGTGAAGATGTTTTCGTAGCCTTGCAGCTGTCTGTCACTTTATTATGTAATGGCTTCATCCTCTTCAGGCATCCGTCCTGTGACCTGATTTAACAAACAGGTTATTTGTTTTTGTTTTTATAGTTTGTTTTGGTTCATTATGATTTGGAAAAGGTTTCATTTGGCGAATCCACAACAGTTTTTAGAACCAGGCAACATTACATACTGCTGACCACTTTATTTGGGACAGGAGTTTAAGCACAAATCCAAATGGTAGTGGTATAATAATCCCAGTGCAGAAAGTGCATACTGCTGATATGCCTGTGGGCAAGGCACGTTACTCACCTTGCCTTTGATTGACAGACAGAAGGGGTTCCTATCAGTGTGCATGAATAGTGTAATGTTTGTAAGAAAATGTGTTATTGTCATTAATAAAATGTTTATTATTTGGTTAAAGTGTGTTAAGATGTTTTTGTCCTGTTACATTTTCATTGCTGTTTATTTGTAACCGGAGTAGGCCCATCCCACAACATGGGCTGGACCTGTATTTATGAGACAGCCGATGCTGCATGGAACACATGAGAGACAGGTGCACCACAGGTAACACTGATGCTTCAGTTCTACAAGTCCTTCAGTCCTGAGGCTTTTTTGACAAATGCTTTTGTTCAGTTTTTGTCTATATTCTGTTACAATATTTATTTAAAAATAACGTGTTCAGTAATTACATTTACTTTTTTCAACCTTTAGACACTTTGCAATAATTAAAAATGTTCTGGCTAGCTGTTGGATTTGTTTTGTCCGTAACTCCGCCAGTGATCCAGGGCGCAACTAATACGTTCGGTAAGAAGCCACTATTAAGTGGTTCCTTTGTCTAAGTTATTAAATAGTTGCTAGGCTTCTGATGGCGTTTTCATGTATTTGTGCAGTGTGGTGTTACCATGACCCATCGTGCAGTAAGTTGGCTATTCATTACACTATTCTTTTTTAAACTTGCATTTTAAATGGTATATTATTTTATTTTATTATTTATTTTATAGATGACGCTACGTGGCCATCAAAGGCTCCAGAATTCTGCAATGGTTCACGACAGTCTCCAATTGACATTGTTACCAAAAACGCCACTTTGAATCAGAATTTAACATCGTTCACTTTCACAAACTTTGACAACAAGTCTGCCCTCACAAAAATAGAGAACACCGGAGACACAGGTAAATATTCAAATATTTCTATAACTTACATAACAACAACAACAATAATAATAATAATAATAATAATAATAATAATAATAATAATAATAATAATAATAATAATAATGATATTTGAGATAGGATAAGCTACTTACTTTATGCATACCTTTCGTCCTCTAGTCAAAGTGACTTTGACCGGGAATGTCAGGGTGAAGGGCGGTGATCTGCCCGGTACCTACGACAGCATGCAGTTCCACCTGCACTGGGGAAACGGCGCATCTGTCCCGGGCTCTGAGCACACTGTGGATGGGAAGCGATATCCTATGGAGGTAGGCCAAGACACAGTGAATTCAACTATGTGCGGCATAAAGCCATGCTAATGATGATGATGTGACCTGTGGCGTTTTAGCTCCACATTGTGAACCTTAAATCGCAGTATAATGGGAATACAACTCAAGCAGCTGCAGATTCTACAGGAGCTGCTGCCCTCGGATTCTTCATTGATGTAATACATAATGAAATAAAAAGATTGAGATTACAATATATGCTATGTTCATTAAAAATATGTATACATTTAATATCTTAATGTATTTAGGTGGCTGAAAATACAACAGGAGAACCAGCTGCCTGGAAGACCCTGACCTCATATCTGTCGAATATTACCTTAAAGGGTAAGAAATATTATAAACCATAGGCTATTTAATACAAATGAGATCACTCAAGTAGTCTTTAGCTGAATAAATGGAGGGTCACATGGGTAATGTAGAACATAATGGATGCAACCCTTCATAGCCTATTATTTGTGTAGGCCTATATTTTATATTGTAATATTTAGTATTTTCCCCCTAATAATGCTATATACATACATAGGTCAATCTGTCACTCTGTCCAATGAGATTTCCCTGGATGACCTCCTGGCTGGGATTGACCGCACTAGATATTACCGCTATTTGGGCTCGCTCACCACCCCCCTCTGCTATGAGGCGGTAGTCTGGACTGTCTTCAAGGAGCCTTTGAAAGTCAGCAAGGATTTGGTAAGTTATCTGGAGTCCTTATGTGTTTTATAAGTTCAACATTTGCCTAATTTCATATATATACTCTCTCTCTCGCCCCAGATTGACATGTTCGCCAACAGTGTGCACATTGGAAATAGCACGTCACCACTTTTGATTAATTGCTACAGAAATGTCCAGGCAGCGCAGCCTGTGACACACAGCTCCAGCTCAAAGATAAACATCTCTTATGGGCTCTTTGTCTTTATTTCTGCACTGTGGATGAGATAACAGTTAAAATGTGACAAGATGTAACTATCTACACACACACTAAATGATACGAGCTTCTAGTGTACATGACTGAGGGTGTGTAACACATTTGATTACAGTCATCAATCATATTCATTTATGTATGTTATATAATGAAGGATGTGGATAACCCATTGAATGTCTTTACACCTGCGGTCGATGATGTTCATAATTGTTTCCAGAATGTTCTTAGAGTTGTTTTTATTTCGCTCTGGCATAGCTTCTACAGTTGAATAATGGTTGAATGGTACAATAGTGCGTTGCCATGTAATAAGCCACAGGAAATACTGGATCTGTAAGTAAAAAAATGCTGCACTTTGTAACTTTTATGTAGGTATGATGAAGGATGAAGGATGACATTTATTAAACCTTGCTGATTTTAACCTTTGATTGATGAAATAAAATGATCCTGTCAAATGTCAGTATTTTGAATTTTGTTTTTATGTTGCATTAATACAAAGATTACCAGTGTGGGCAATATGCCAAGAAAAAAAATAAAAAAAATAAAAACTGTGATTAGTTATATCCACCTGTCACTCACAGAGCATGAAGGAGGCTGACCAATCAGAGAATGGGTGGTGATTGTTGATGGTGGTGATAATTGTGATCTGTGTTTTACGTGCATGTGTATTATCAAGGAAGCCATCAGTTTAGTAATGTGAATCCTTTTCATGTGTGACCTTAATATATAGTAGTGAATAGGGCGTGAAGTGTGAGTGTCAGGTAGGGTGAGAGACAGACTGCATGCAATGTATTTTGAGGTAACATTTCTTTCGTTTCTTCTGTAGGGTCATTGCACATTTGTAGGTATTCAATTATTAGGTATTTATTTATTTATTTATTAGGTATCTATTTAATTTTAAAGTAAATGTATCACCAGAAGAAACAAGAAAGCAGAGTCATCTGATCTGTTGTTATTCCCACCTGTCAGCCACAGTGAAGCATTTTAGGCCAACATACACAGTATAGATACCTACAGTTACAGTCTTTGTGTGCTCTGGTAAGACAGCTTTCACTCTTTCTGCAAGGTTTAAAACCAGCTCACACCAGTTTACCCAAAATGGGTTGTCTCTTGATTTTGAGATTAAAGCAAGAATGTAAACACATTTTAAAGGTGCACTATGTAACTTTTGTTACAGACAAGTAGGTAGTGAACCATCCATCTTGAAAGTTATATTGTGCACCTTAAAGCCTTCAGGAAAAAAAAATAAATAAATAAATATATATATATATATATATATATATATATATATATATATATATATATATATATATATATATATATATATATATATATAAAATTGATACTTACTGTAACCCCCGTTACAAATAGACCCAATAGTAACAGAGCATTACATGATAAAAAAGTAAAAAGGGTCAATAAATACTAATAAATAATTTGATTTAAAACATGATTAAAACAGCTATAAATAACATGATAAAAATATAAATACAATTTAAAAAACAAATTCATGTTTTTTATTTATTTTTGTTTAAAAAGAATATTGTAAAAAAAAGTTTTTCAAACGCCCCTCCCCCACCCACGAGAGGCTGCATAGCGGAACGCAAGGCCTGTTAGGGCAGAGCGAACGAGCACACACGACAGAGCAGCTATTAGCGCAATCTACAGAGACGCAAACCTGTTGTCTAACGAGGCAGGAGTAGGGGTGTGAGTTTTTTTGGACAGGTTTTATTCCCCCCGGGGAGAACGTGGGAGCAGAAGGTCCCGGACCCTGAATTCCCGCAGAGACACGGAGACACAGACACACGGAAGGCGAGCCTACCCAGGAAGCGCGGGAAAGGACGGCGCATAGAGCACCTTCACACCCACAAACACACTTATTCCCTGCTAGCATAGGTGCTACATTACTACTCTCTTACTTACTCACTAAGAAGCTTACATAACAGATTATACTTAAGAATAGCTTGGTACAATCACAGAATGGTGTCAGTTTAACCATTTAAAATATTTTGAAATTAAACACCATATTGCTACAGGCCATATCGTCCTGACAGAACTATTCAGACAGTATTGCCTGTAGCAAAGGTTGTTTTGTCTTGTGCAGCTGTGACTGAAACATGGTAAACTACAAAGCTGTTCATTATAAACCTGTTTTGTGAAAAGCCACTGGAGGTCATAGACAGACAGCAAGGTCAGCATGACATGGAATTGTACTGTGTTTTTTGTCCTGTTAGAAATGTAGAGATGCTGGTTAGATCTGTGGAGAGGTGACCTCGCTCAACAAGGAACACACGTTTGTCAATGTATGTTTGAGCATTAAAACACAGCTGTAGTCAAATAAATGCTATCAATATGTTAAATGCTATACACATTCCAGTCAAAGACTCCATGCAGAAATGTATGGTGACTGCCAACAAAAAGCTACATAGTGCACCTTTAAATAAAATGGTGAAAATGTATTTTAAATTGAACTGTTATGGAAATGTTTTTTTTTTTTTGTAAAACTCTAAAAACAAATATTCAACAACAACAAATATGTGACCCGGCCTGGGATAAAGCGGAAATAAATTGATGGATAGAAAACAAATGTGGTGAAATGTCTGGAGCTCAACATCACCTTTGTCAATAGTAGATGTAGTTCAACGGGTTTGGAAGAAGAGGAAAGGACCTTTGCCTCTGAAATGACTTCAGTGATATAAGAAACCTCATTTGTTTGACAGAAACATCAATCTTCTGCTCTTTTTATTAATCATACAAGTCCATATAAATCTGTCAAAAACTGTCTAAGGAGAGACATGTTAATTACAAGACCATACAGTTTTTTTGAGGCCTATTCTTTCCTGTTTTATGCATGACTGCTCATCCTTCTGTTGTCTGGTGTTTTGTTAAGAGTCAGAATTGAGAAGAGTAATGGATCCAAGGATCCATTACGTGTGTGTGTGTGTGTGTAATATGTCACAAGTGGGACTGATTTTAGAATTTTTGATTTAAATGTGTTATTTAGTGTATGGTTTTTAAATTGCATGATTTTAGCTTCCCATTGATGTTTTATCTGTTTTAATTCATTTTAGCTTTTATATTTTTATTGTGCTTGTTCCATGTTTTAACTTTTTTTTTATATTAATATTAAATAATATTTATTTAAATCATGTTTTGTTGTATTGATTGCTCTCACTGTTATTTTATTTTACCGTAACATTCTAATTCATCCTCCCCCATACACACCTTACAGTAAACCTCAGCCCATGACCTGTGTGTGTATTTTATGGATGGGGTAGGCCCATGGAAGTATAATAAGATCTTAAGCTAACTTGAGTTAAAATAAGCACACCTGAACCATAACTATTCTCTTCTTAATCTCAGCTACCGGCTGGGTATGCAATAATGAAATGTATTTCTTTAAACATAAAACCATGTTTAACCAGTGATTTCTTATAGTTAAAGCTATCATACTGCTGTTAAAGTGCAGAAATTTTAGTTTTTTTTAAACAAAATGTGCAGTGACCTGAGGCTTTTTGTTTCACTTTCACTGTTGTTCATGCTGTTGGTGAGTATTTATAGCCTATAAAAATAGAAATCATAAAAACAGCTCAAAAGCTCATACCTGTTTCCTTTGTGTTCTAAAAGCTCCCTGATGTTACAACGACTTAGTAAGTAAAACCTCAAGTCATATTTGTATTTTTTACATTGCCCAATAGAACTCATCCTGTTGAGAAAGGTATGTGGCCATTTTCTAGATGACACTTCTGGGCTTTTCTTGCTGCAGCGGCAGTCTGTCTACCTCAGTCAGGTCATTTTTTTTTTTTTTAACCCTCACCAGTTCAGGACAGGTGTGCAAAAATATTGTAAAGTTGTGCTATACTTGTGTGGTAGAGGTGCCACTCTCCTATTTCTTTTTAATACCTGTTATTGTATAAATGAAAATTATATACAATAATTACTACAATTCCCTTCTGTTTGGTCTTCCACAAAAAACTTTCCACAAACTTCAATCGGTCCAAAACTCAGCTGCATCACACCCATCCTACATCAGCTCCACTGGCTCTCCATCTCACACTGCATTCAACACAAAATCCTGCTCCTTGCACCTCCACATCTCTCTGAGCTCTGAGCATTGCCACACCTGCCCGCTCCCTCCTCCTCTCTTCTCTCTCCGCTTCTGTTGCCCGTCTCATTGCCATGGAGACCAGAGCCTTCAGCCGCTCTGTTCCTCAGCTCTGGAACACTCTCCCTCCTGACCTCCACAATGCTGACTCACTCCAACACTTTAACTCCAAACTCTAAACACACCTGTTCAGACTGGCCTATTCCCTCCACCCCACCATCAGACCATAACTGCACAGTCCCTCTTGAACTGTATGCTTTTTAAACTGTTGACAGTTAACTTTGCTTATGCTTTTGTAGTTGTTTATTTGTTGTACTGCAAGCTTGAGTGTCCAAAAAGGCAGGACATATAAGGCAAAGCAATAACATCTGTATAACTGTTGTCGGCATCATCTCTAGACAAGCCAAGTTTAATTGTATAGCACAATTTGTACAAAAAGTGCTTTACAGAATAAGAAATACATTTATTGCTTTTTTAAACATAAAAAATAACCCATCATTACACACGCAGACAGGCTTACACACTCACATATCATCCACTCAGTTGCACACCCACACACATGTACAGTCACCCAAACACATGTGCACTCATACCCATACATACCCGAGGAGAGAGAGATCATTGTCCTATGTGACACAGAAACAAAAAAAGACACAAAAAATGTCAATATGTGTATTTGCTTTTCCATAAATATTATACAGGCTACTTCATTCAGCCAATTCCTAAAGGTCAGTGCAGATGTTGTTTAGTGATGTAGCTGTAGATGTAGTAAAGCATTCCTTAGATGTTTTGGTAGGTACTGTGACTCTATGGAGCATCCAAGCAGAGCCATGTGCCAAATCAGTCGTATATGCTCCAGAATAAAAGAAAAAGATATTAGACTAAAATGACTGTATAATTGGACAGTCCCAGAATGAGTTTAACAATGAATCTTCAGCTGATTTACACTTGTCACATAATTTAGAGGCATCTGGATAGAATTTATGCAGTGAAACCTACCAGTAATGAAAACAATGAATCACTTTAACTGAATTATCCTGTACCTATTATTGATTGAGCATTTATGAATTAGAGAAAAGGATTCTTTCTATAATTGTTCGGTTTTGGTAGTTTAGCTCCTTTTCCTAAGCAATTTTTAGTTTTTTACTTGTGGGTGATAAATTTAAAGTTTCTTGTGATGTTTTTCATTTAATAGTTCAAAATTTGGCAGGTTATCTTTAATGAAATGACTTATCTGCAAATACCGGAACAAACTGGATTGGGAGAGATTGTATTTTGCTCTCATATCGTTAAAAGAAGAAATAACTGGCAAAATCCTTTATTAATTCCCACCAAATAAATATATTGTGCCTTCTCTAAAAGGAGATCTGTAAGATCGAAAAATGCAATATATAATTCCCTCACCTTGTTTAATTACATGCTATAGCTATTTCACTTTCACAAAAGATTTTCTTCTGAAGCTACATATTGTGAATGCTAAGTCTTCCAAACAGGACTAGCTGCTCTTGCATTCTTAACTGACGTGACAAACAAAAGTTATGTTTTAATTGAAGTTTGTACTGGACATTCATTAATCAATCAAAAACATGCTGACGCAGATTATGAACAGTATCAAGAGCCAAATACACTAGAAGCCTGGCACACCCTGACCAGCTATCAAAAGCCAAGAAAGAGGTGATAAAAGACTTATGTAACAAACAATTATATTTTGACTGTTTTTTTTTATTTAAAGTATATACAAAGCTGTTAATTGTATGAGAGCTAATTACATTTCTCATTTTATTCACAATTTAATTTAATGCTCTGTCAGTGGCACAAGGTTTTCAAATCAAGTACCACCAAAGAAAAGATTTGTCTTTCTGAGTACCACCAGATTAAAATCAGGGTCTAATTTCCACTGTAGTTTTAACAAAAAACAATTCCAAAGGAAGACAAAAATGTATAAACATTTACTCTAAAGTAGGCAAACTCACAAACTAAAGAGCTGTCCAAGTACCACCTGAAAGAAGTCACATACCACTAGAGGTACATCTACCACAGAGAAACACTGTTCTTTTCTCCATTGTCCCATGAGATTTCCCTGGATAGAATAGAATAGAAAGCCTTTATTGTCATTATACACAGTATAATGAGATGCAGAATGATGACAGGATGACCCTGTGGTTGGGGTTGACTGCATTAAAAAATATTCCTAGCAATTTTCAAAATGTACAGACAAACTTTCATCCTGGATAATCTGATAATGATTCAGATTTTACTGCATAGTATTTTGTGTCGTTTTCCAGGATGTGTTTTTTCACCTTTTCAACTCACTATACATTTAGAATATTTTATTTTTCTTTTTTTTTCCCAGATTGATCTTTTTAGCTCTACAATGTGGCGTCACAACCAGCCAGTCACAACCCAGGCAAACACACGCTCAAACTAGTCCTTACTTACACTTTATTATTTTTTATTTTATGATTAAATACTGTCTAAGGTTGCCTCCTGAATTAAAACATGAATCTGGGTCCCCATAATCAAAATATGTACTGTGTCTGTGAGATGAGTGCTGAGATATGTAATGAGTTTCTGCTTTGATTTAGTTTTGTACAAGATAGTGGAGAGGAAACAAACCAGTCTGTCTCCCTAAGACCGTAGACGAACTACATACAAAACATTCTCATTTGACATAATTCATTACATTCATTTTGACTTGTCAATCAAAATACTTCACTAACAACATACAAAATACACACCTGCACTACACATCAATTCTCCAAGTGCCTCCTTTGGTATTCAAGATCTGTAGAATGCAACACTTACTGGCAGCACTGAATTTTAAATGTGGAGTACTTTCCTATAGTCTATGTATGACTAAGTCAACATCTTGATCTGATTGTTTTGTTCTTGGTTAATTACTGATATTTCTCAACATTGTCCTGTGTCCAGCAGATGTCATTATTATTAGCTCATACAGTACATTGTCTGTGACCTGGGTTGACTTGAGCCCAACCCTCAGTGTAGAACAAAATAAGAATCTGCTACATTCATCTGTTTTAATGGTGTGAGTGATTAACCTTGTTGAAAGACACAATTTACATACATTTATATAAACTGAGCTGAAGTAAAGACCTCATGATTGTACCACTCCCAGATGAATGTGGGATTCTTTTTGAGTGTGTGTGTGTGTGTGTATATATATATATATATATATATATATATATATATATATATATATATATATATATATATATATATATATATATACACATATACATATATACATATGTAAATTTTACATATATTTAAAATGTTAAAGTGTAATTTCTATTTCTTTTACTGTAGTTATTAAAATGTAATTTAGATCTACTGTTATCTCAAAAGTGTCATTCATATACAATCAAAAATAAGGAGAAAATCTCAAAATTGACTGGTTTCCTAAACACTAGTGGATCATGAACAGAGCAGTGAGCAAGAGGAACAGATTGCCCCGTACAGGTCCTGCTGAGTTCCTCACGCTGCAGTAGCATTCTTTCGGGTTTCTGGGGTTGGCTGGAGCAGGGGTCGCAGTGGGAGAAGGACATCTGAGCCAATCCACACCGATGGATTTAGGAGTGACCTCTTCATTGTCCAGTCCCCCTCTCTTTACTACCCAGTACAGGTCATCCTTAAAGAAGTAGGTATCACCTAAAGTGACAACACAAATTAGGAGACACACATAACTGTATACAGCCTAATGTTACTTTAACATTAAAGACAGCTAAACATTTAAACATTGCCCATTTTGCCTCTATCAGACAACGAAGCAGACTGTAAATTTAATGGGAGTAGAAACAGTGTTATCTTAAATTAATCTTTGGTTTACAACAGTTTAGTTGACATTCCTGTTGCAGTCATGCACCTTAGACAAGACTTTGGTAAATCAGCTCCAGTTGGTCTGTAACAAGCAGATCAGCTTCATTACCACATGAGTCATGACGCACCTTCTCCCCAGCTGATGATATCGTCCATGTCTGTGGGCACTCCCTTCCACACGCTGCTGTCTCGAGGGAAGTCCGGGTCTAGTTTTCTGTTCACCTGGCCCTCCCTCCGCACCTCGCTGAAGCGCCAGTACTCTCCTCCACTGAACAGGTACGTCTTCCCATTATGGTCCCAGATAAACGCTGCCTCCACCTTGTCCACTGGCTGCCCTTTTTTAGTCTTCATGCCCCAGTCAGATAAAGGCTTTGGGTAGCCACTCATCACCTCTGTGTCCTTGAAAACCCAGTACTGAGACCCTGCGCACACACACACGCACACACACACACGCACACATGCACGCGCGCACACACACACACACACACAATGTCAATTTAAATTGATAATGTGTAACTTTATAGAGGTGGAAAGTCAACTGCATGATTCCATGGAAATAGAAAGTTAAAATGGTACTTCACAGCATTTTCCATGGAAGTTGATACAGGGAAAATGGAGGCCCTCATTCAGGCCAAATAAGGTGAGAATTAGGATGTATGTTTTTCTATGTTTTTCAGCATATTTATATTTTTTTAAAAGCTACATACTATGGCTTTAAGCAACAAATGTATATTGTTGTTGTGATCTCAGATATTAGTGCTCCAAGTTGATCAACAAACATTTCTTTGTTCAAATCTGCTGGTGAAGTAAATAACAAAACATAAGTAAACCATCACTTTTGGCTACTACTATACTATTGGCTGGATATTGGCTCTAAACCTGTACATATTTTAAAAAACACTAAAATACTTTCACCTTTCATGGATTTTAGAAGACGTGAACATTCAATGGCCTAATGTGTAGACATTCTCACCAATAAAGAAGACAATACGACTGTCAGCCTTTCGCTCATACACAGAATCAATCTTGTAAGACCCCGGGGGCAGACCCATCCAAAAGTTTCTGATTCGAGAGGGATTGAGGGAGATCAATGAGCCATCACGTTTGGTCCTCCAAAATTCATCACCTTAAAGGACAACAGAAGAATTTATACTTTAGGGCTGTACAGACAAACAACAACAACAACAACAACAAAAAGAAGTTAAAGTAAAAGCCCTGCACCTTTAAAAAAGAAAACTTCTCCTCTGATATTGGCCACAGCATCAAATCCTCCCTGGCACCGTTTCAGAAAAGATGTGTCGAAACTATGACAGAAAAGATAAATTCAATATAAAAGGTGCATTGTGACATATTCCCACTAGAGAGCGGTATTGAGCAAAACAATGTTGAGAGTTTGCAGATGAAATCCAATCCTAGTTTATATAAATACTCACTGCTTTGTTGGTCTTGGTGGAGGTGGACTGGGCAGTCGGTAAATCAGGTTTGTCTGCTGATTTATCATCTTGCACACCTGAAAAACATATTCTGTGTGCCCAGCATGCATAGCATGGCATAGCTACCTCAAAGATTTCTGGCTTTCCATATTACAGCTACTCTAGCTCAAAAATGTTATGGCAACCACATTTATTCAAAATTTAAAAAATTACATTAGCATTTCAATCACTGCAACTGTACTGAATTAATTTACAGACTCAAAACTCCCTTAGCTCCTCCGGGAGCTGTCACTGGTGCCAAGTTGCTGTAAACATTTAGCACCCTGTAATATCTCCTTTAATTTGAACTAAACCATGAAATAAACCATTGTAAACTGACTTTTAAGTTGTAGGCCTATGCACACTCACCATAAAGCTGTTGAATGGCCATCTTATCATCCAGGGCCAGATGATACTTGAGAAGATCCTCCACGGGACCCTGGTAATATGGGCGCATTATGGAGGGATCAGAGGAGGAGTGGGACAGACCAAGAGCATGCCCGAACTCATGCACCGCAACAGTGAACAAGTCTATGGAGCTGCTGCTGTTCCCTGGGAACAAGACAAGTGTCAGTCACCTATATGTAATAGTATAGGTTATAATGTACACATGTGATGATACCCATGTTCTGTTCAAACTTTAATTAAAGTAAAGAAACAGACTGGGGTAAGCTAAGCCATTCATTATGAGAGGAGATGAAAGGAAGTATTTTAATGAGGTCAGTATCTTTATAAGAGTTTAGGTCAAATTATTTCCACAAAGTGCTTTTAAAAGTCAAAAACAAAGTTCCAATTACAGTTGTCTTTATTTAGTCTTTACTATAGCCTAATTACAGTTGTGGACAAAATTGTTGGTACCTCTCTGACAATGAAAGAAAAAAATCGAGAATCATCACTCAAATAACTTGAAACTGATAAAAGCAATAATAAATACAAATTTAGTGAAAATTGTCCAATGAAAATCAAACATTGCTTTTTACCTGTGGTTGAACAGAATTATTAGAAAAAAATAAATAAATGAAACTGGCCTGAACAAAAATGATGGTACCCTTAACGTAATATTTTGTTGCACAAGTTTTAAGGTAAACTATGCAATCAAATGGTTTCTGTAACTGTCAATGAGACTTCTGCTCTGATCAACTGGTATTTTGACCCACTCCATGTGAGCAAACTCCTCTGGTTGTCTCAGGTTTGAAGGGTGCCTTCTTCAGACAGCATGTTTCAGCTCATTTCACAGATGTCTGGGCTCACAGACCAAAAGTTTTATTCTTGGGTGTTTTGGGTGATTATCCTGTTGGAAGTCCCATGACCTATGACTGAGACCAAGCTTTCTGACTCTAGTCAACACATTTCGTTCCAAAATACCTTGATAGTTTTGAGATTTCATTGTACCTTGCACAAATTCAAGACACCCTGTGCCAGATGCAGCAAAACAGCCCCAGAACATAACCACGCCTCTTCCATGCTTCTTTTCTAGGGATACCATCATTTTTGTCCAGGCCAGTTTCATTAGTTTTTTTTTTTTTTTTTTATAATTCTGTTGAACAACAAATCAAAAATAGTGTCTGATTTTCATTGGCTATTTTTCAGGATTTTATTATTTTTTTATTTATTTATTATTGCTTTTCTTAGTTTCAAGTTATTTCAATGAAAATTTAGATTTTTCTTTCATTACCAGAGGGGTACCAACAATTTTGTCCACATCTGTATATGCGTCTACATGTAGGCTACATGTTTTAATTGGCATAATTTTATACTATGGTAAAATGATAACCCTGAGACTGGTTTCCAAGATTGTGAGTTTTAGTAGAGCCCTACAATTTCCTTGCAAGGATGACCGTGGAATAACAAATAGGCTACACCATTTCCTGGGAAGTAGCCTACCTCTGAAGCTCCAGCTTTCATGATCGTCAAAGTGGGTATCGCCTGCCACCTCGTCCCCGCTGGGGAAGAAGGCGTGTGCTAGGGTCCCACCTTCTCCATCAAAAGGATACCCGTCGTCATGTAACAACTTCGCAAAAGATATTCTGATATCCCCCCCTGCTGGTACACCTGCGCTCTCACTGGGCACCCGCTGGAAACGCAAAGGGGCTGCGTCACTCCAGGCTTTTAATGCACGGGTCAAGATGTTATCAACCAACCCGGGCCCCATTTGGGGCGATGTGGCCGGTGATGGGTAACTATGGACGCTAAAAAACAAACAGCAGTAGGTTACTGGAAGACACTAGAGAAGAGTAGTAGACAGCTATAGTAAATGGACCAGGAGTGTAAGAGGATAAGTAAATAGAGGGGCCAAATGTATTAGACAATGTAGCCTAATGGCGTAATGGACAACGGGCAAATTCAATACTGTCTCTGAATGATCCCTATGTAGGACTATGCATAGTGGGGAAATGTAACTTTGGGAGTATAGTAAAAATATAATTTTATTTATTAATTTGTTTGTTTGCTTCTGTTTTTCCATGCAGTTCAAAAATGCGTTTTTGCTAACTTGAGGGAAAATGCAGTTACGCAATTAGAGCGAAAGAAGGGGAACACAGATGAGGACTCTAAAACATAAAACAAAGCAATGGCAGAAGTGGGGTAAAGTGAATTAAAATAAATCAAAAAGAGGAAGGCATAAACTAAGAAAGAAAGAAAAAAACAACAACAAAACAATAATTTGCTCATCAAATAAAGCCAGTTCATTCATTTACTTTTAATATTTACTAACTAGCCTATTTAGGCCTAATATAATATACGTGTTGTATTTTCTGCCTGTAGGAATCCAACAAACGTGTGAAGTTCTCCAAGACTGATGTGGTCCTCAGGAGCTACTGATTCATGTGCTTTTCCATGTGAGTTATGGCATGACACAATAAAATTGCATGAGATAATTAGAAATGTCATGAATCAAATAGTTTTACGATTAGTGTGAGACTAAACATCACAATTATGATTATTTGTGATTATTAACAACATGGCCCAACAACAGTGAAGTCCTTAATTCCCTTGCACAATTCTGGCTCAGTATGGCTAGCTCAAACTTTCTGAATCAGTTAAGTAGGCTACATAGGCCTTTAAAAGCATAAAAAGCCCTTTACATTTTGGTTTACTTTTTGGAGTACATAGATTGAATTGAAATGACTTATTATTGCTTTTTACATTTTCGTAATTATTAATTTGTAGATATCGTGATTATTTGTGACTTGAATAATCAATTATTGTTTAACCGAATATCTACTCTTGACAACCCTACTTTATGCACTAATGGGTAAGAATTAAATGCATTTGGGAGTGGTGCTAGGGTAGTTATGGCACAAACATAAGGGCCAAATTGCTGTTGGGTTCTGTTCCAATTGCAAAAATGCATTGACACACAGGAAGTAACATGACAGGAAGCACACCTCCATGTGAGCTCTGTTTTGTGCCACTTGAGGCCTGACAGTGCATATCTCTTCCTCCTCCTCCTCTTCTTCTTCATCATGTCTTCACTGCTCATGATATCAGGCAGGGAGCAGCGAGGAGTGGACATGAGCTTCAGAGTCTTCTCATCTGAAATACAAAACCACAACATGTTGAAACTGAACCAGAAAAAGAGAAGTTAGTAGATGGAAATAACAAACACAAAATTTACCAAGAACGCCTGTTTCTGGGACACCTCCAAATCTCTGCATAACCTGGATGGCCTTTTCTATGCCCTCTTTTGTTTGCAGTTTGCTGGTGCGAGGGTCTGGGGGTGGGAGGTAGCCATATCTGCTCAGCCAATCCTATAGAAACACCGCAAAGCTAAGACCCTTGATGGAGTGCATTTACATAGAACATTAAAATTATTCAGTATTGTATCAGTGGACATGGAATTTTTACATCAAGGACCTCCAAATCAGGGGAATAATTAGGAATATTTCTAAATTGTAGCTTGTATGTTTATCTTGTTGTATCACACACAAAGGATGGCTGTTTGAGTCTTGTGGTCTGACCCAGGCTTCTACAACACAACTTTATCAACGTTATCTTTAATTACATTGCCAATTTAATTATTTATGTATTTTATTTCAGTTGTATTTTAATGTGTTAATCCGTTAAATTTTGTTTCCTGTTTCACTTCCTCCACAAAATGTGTAACTGATTTCATCAACTGTTTCTTTGATTGTGGTTTGCCCTCAACACCCTCAAGAAATATATAGGCTGTTGTTTCGGTTGTATTTTTGTGTGTCTTGGTATCAGTATTTGTCAGTATCTTTAAAGGTGCATTGCGTGTCTTTTCTGGTGGAGGGTCTGTAAATACTAATAAAATACTCACAGACAGAATGCCTGTTTTTGTAGGTATTTGAGCTGTAAAATCACCTGTAATTGAATAAATGTGAGGGAGAACTGTTTAGCATCATACTGTGGAACATTCCAGGCTGAGCAATGTCATATCCATAGAAACAAGCAGGTGACGAACTCCCAGCCAAAAAGTTACATAGTGCCTTTAAGAGCTCCCCTTCCCCCATTTATAAAAAGTGAAGTAAAACCAGTTCATTTGTCAGAATTCTATTGCAATATTGTTATGGTATTTTAAAATGTTTAAAAATATTCACCTTTAAGCTTGTCACACCAGGTATTATATTGTATTATAATTTCTGAATTCATTGAGTGTACTCACCACGGCTCTACTGTACTGGTCATCCACAGCCAATACATTCCCCAAAAAGATCAAGACGACACACAGTGGCCCCAGTTCCATCGTGACCGCTACCTAACAATTTGAAAATACTGTGTCATTTCTCTTATTGTCAGCTAATTACTCACAACTTCCTTTCTCCCTGTGTAGACACCCCCCTCTTTAAGACTGGACAAAGCTCACCGTTGTTTGGGCTTCTTCTGAAGCTGCTCTCTGGAGACTAGGCTGGGCTCATCGATCTGGCTCTTCTTCCTCCCTCTGCTGCTGCATGTAACATATAAGGCATCTCTCTCTAGTGTCTCTTTAGTTACTATGGGCAGATGTCTGAGAATGATGTCACACACAAGTAGTAGTGGTTTGCTAGTGAGAAGGGACGTGTTACACAAATAGAGCAAAAAAGTATGATTAAGTGTATGATGATATATGCTGCATTATCTTAAAGTGCCCATATTACGCTGTTCTGATCTATGTTGTTTCCTCATCACAAACGTATTTGGAGTTGTGTTTTGTTTCATTAACATATGTTTAATGCAAACCCTACATAATTAGGTTGAGTTTTTCCTCTCAAACAGAAAACACTCTGATCCACATTGTGATATCATATGGTAATACAGAAAGTGTTTTTAAACTTCATACACCTTCACTAGAATTATTTGGATGATTCCAAGATTTTGGATTATTTTTCCTGGAACTGCTAATCTAAAGGTAAAGGTAACTGTTAACTTGAAAATGACTGCTTCATGACATCACAAGGTGAAACAGAGCATTTTGAGCTTTGGGAATGCAGACAGATTAATGACAAGGGGTTACTCAACATGAATGAATGAATGAAACAAAACACAACTTTAGGTTTGCTTTTGAGGAAGTAATAGCATTATAACATGGCTTAAAGCTTACAAGAATCCATTTTGTGTAAGAAAGGACCTTTAAATATTAACAACCAAGAACCAACAATTTCATTATTACTCCAGGAAGATAGATGACAGAGGTTTGGAAAGTGTGGTCAGCTTTAAAAGCACAACTTTAGATACAGCTAAGTGAACCCAACTCAGGAGTGAAGTCTTTCCATATCATTGGGGTGAACAGTGAAGTTGGTGATATGGAGCTAATGAAAAAATATATTCTGAGACTCTTGTATATGATGTTCTAGGGAGCACTTAACATTTTTAGTCATATAATATTGGATTAATTTAGATGATTTTATTTTTGAAACCAAAATAAAATTTAATATAAATAAGTAATAAAGTTTTTGCAGCAATATAAAAAAGATCATAAGAAAAACAAAGATGCAAAAATGATATTATGATTGACAGGATGTTATCTGTTGCATAACCTTACTAGAGACAATGAACAAAAGACATCTCACATACAGTAGGATCTTCCAGCCTCGTGGTGCTTGGATGTGTGACTGTCTCTACTCTGCAACCGTGGTGTTATCTTTCTCCCCCTTCTTCCTCTCTCGTCTTTGATTTCGGTCCACTCTCCAGGGCCCAAATGAGTCAGACCATTACCCTGCTAATGGTCAGCGTGTTTCCGCCAAGTCTGCACTGAGACCATCTACTACTATATTATCCATATGAAGTACCCATATAAAGAGCCCATCCAAAGTATCAAGTGTTCATCTGTTTTCATTCCATATCTTATGCTTATGATAGTAAACGTTGACCATATCTGCCAGACATTGAAAAACTATCAATTATTTCTGTCAGAATTGTGTGCTCTAGAATACTTAACACCTAAGAAGAAGTCATTTGGAGTCGTGAAACTAGACCATGGCATTCCTAAACTATATTGTTATGATTAGATAGTATATCTTGAAATCTTTTAATAACTCCCATATGTTGCAAAAAACACACATATATTAAAACTACTACTAATGCATCAGAAATGTAATGTGTGGCCCTTTACAAAATGAGAAAAAAAGATAGTCATGTTTTGAATACACACATTTTTATTCTCATTAAAGGGATCCAAGGCCTTCATCACAAAAGGGTTGACTCTTGGTAAATTTACAATACTAACACAACACACACAGCAAAAACAACACAATGTGAGAGAGTGAAAAGACAAATAAATATGTTTTCTTATGGACTAAAATGCAGATGGGCTGAGGTCTGGCCTGGAGTCGATTGTCTTTTGTCTCGTGGTTTTGGTCATGCTGCACAGTGTGGCCCACTCTAGACTGATTGTCTGAAAGCAGTTTTTTGTATAAAATAATGATTTGATTGTCATTGGCTTATTGATATGTCAGTGGATTATGAGAAGTGACCACTAGGAGTGCAATGATCAGGCATAACATAATGTTAGCTTTCATTGATGGTCACGATGTTAAATTCCCCTGCTGAACACGCAGCCCCATATGTACCCACTCCTCTTGCATAACTCATATTCCCATTACTACTGTAGCTTGGGAAAACCCCACAGGTGTTTTTGGGGATGCTCAGACCCTGTGGTCTGATCAATGTCAAACCACATGAACGTGAATGTTTTGGCTCTTCTGATAATGGTGCATCCTTAATTAAATATCAGCTAATACAATTTGTGCTTTAGGTCCACAACATGCTACATTTCCCATGTTTTGAAACTATCCTGTTCAATCTTCTCACATAAAAGTCTGTACAAAAATAATTCGTTGCTGGCACGATAGAGGCAGGAGTAACACTCTTTTCAATGGTCCAGTTTTAGTAAAAGTGATTGCCATCAGCAAGTCAAAAATATTCACAGTAGCGATCCTCTCACAGTTGAGGGAACAGACTATCACAATATTCTTCTCAAGTAAAACAAATCTGTGGTTACACTTCACAGTACACACATCTGCTGCCATTTGCACGTCATTTGGCCACGCTGCTTTTATAACTATTTTACTATTTTAATCATGCTATATAATGTTGCTACATATCTCCGACATTTCTGGAGTTGTGTTTTGTTTCATTCACACTTCTTAATAATCTTGCACATTTTGTCTTTCTCCCTCCTCAGAGCTCAAAATGTTTGGTTCCATTGTTTGTTTCATAAAATGATTACCCTGGAGATGATGTTTTTTTTAAATTCATTCTCCTTTAATAGATTTATTTAGATTACTGCCCAACTTTCACTGCCCAAAAAGCATTCACTACAGAGATTACCTACCTTGAACCCTACCAGTAGAGGTCACATCCATATGCACTAATGTCAGCATTTTAGATTGAATTTGTTTTCCTTAAATCTTTAATACTTAATGAATAATGCAAAACACTGGAGCTTTCAAGATCATTACTATCAGAAACCAATCCCAGATTAGATTGTCAGTCTTAAGACTTGAGGAAACATGTGTCCTTAACACTCGGTATGTGCCAGATCAGTATACACATCAAATTACATGGAAGTAGTGGTCAGCTCTTAAACTCGTCTGTGATGTTAAATTCTAATTTAGTGCAAATATCAGTAAATCATAGTACCATGAAGTACAACCAAAGCTGCTCTTGATTGAATTGTAAACATGAATGCATCCAGCCACTCCCACTGTCCCTGCCTGCTCACAATTGCCCCAAGGAAGATCTGACACGGTTAACATGCCCTTTTCTTTGTCTGTGCCTCCACAGTCTGTCATTCACTGTAACCTGGCCCAGTACTGACCCAGGTTCTGACTCATGCTCTGCTGCTCTGCTCCTGGGACCTGAACTGGCACAGAGACCCCCGGAGATATAAGACCTGTAAGCAACAGAAAACACTTGGGCATTGTACAGTTTGGTAACATTATGGAACAATATTAACTGAAACTGAAACAAAGAGAAACAAGAGTTACCAGTGTTGGAGCTAGCCGTGGGTGGAGTCTGCAGATGTGAAGAGGTGTACGCTGAGTCAAAGCTTCGCGGAGCCGAGGGAGAGGGGGGCAACATGCAGGAGTACGAGGAAGCCGACTGGGGAGGGATGGACTGTAAAGAAGGAAAAACATGATTTAAATAACTAACTAAACTAGAAAGCACTAGCAGTAATTACACTTTTGTTTTTTTGTTTTTTTTTTTTTTTTTTTTTTTGTCTCAGCTGCTATATGTTTCTTAATGTGTCTATGTCTGTGAAAAAAACAGGAGGTAAATAAATAAAGTTTTTTGTCCATGGCTTTCAGAATGACAATTCAGGGCCATTGTCATAATGATTAGTAATTTAAAACAAAAGAAATGTAATTTGAATGGGAAAAAGTCTTCAAAATGTTGCATATAACAGGAAGCTGAAACCCATGAATAAGCATGTGTGCTACTGCTGCGGAGTTATTGCCATCAGTCGTGAATACATTTTTAAGATCCATTTTCCTATTACTTTTCTCAAACTCCATGGCAATTACTTGTGCATGAATCATCTGTGACCACAAGGAGGTGCTAGACCATCACTATGTGTGGGTGTTACTTAATATGCAAAGACTACATCCTTTATTATTAATACGTTATAAAATACAGATGTGCTATGTATCAGAAACTGAACTTGAGTAGTAGTAATACAGAAATAGAGTAGTACTTGGAAAAAAAAAACTTAATTAGAGTTAGAGTTTGATTTAAGCATTGCCTGCTACTCTAGTGTCACTAAAGTTTTTCTTTATATAGAGTTGTATTTTAATAAATAATTTAGATAATTAATGATGAATGGTTGATAGAGCTGCAATAAGAGAAATATCTAATTGCGCTTTTTATGGGAAGCATTGCAATTGCAATACAGTTAGTGATTTATGATTTATTAATACGATTCTGTTCAAAGTTCACATTTTAAATATGTCTAGCAAAAATAACAAAAGACTGAAATATGAACTGACAAACTCATACAGATATAAATGACAGAGTTAGACATTTTTATGCAGAATGGAACAGGATATTTTATTGTTTGTGGAGGAAAAATGTATAAAAAATTGAAGCGTTTGGGATTTACTAATTGCATCCATTCAAATTGCGCTTGGGTTCGATTGTGATAAATCTTGTGGCCCTAGTGGTTGACGTCCTACCTGTACTCCAGATGAGAACACAGACAGAGAGCTGTAACTTGGCAGTGATGTCTCTGCTTGACTCAACATTGACCCTGGAGATACAGACAGATACAGGGCTTCAAACAGTGAGAATATGTAAACAAAGTGCTACAAATTTACTGAAGCACTGATGTAGAGACAGCATCTTACCTGAAGTGCTGCTGTGCTGTTGGTGATAGACATTGGTGTTGAATGAGGTGGTGAGGGGGGCCTGACTTTGTGAACATGAGGTCATGCCCCCTGACCTCCGCTGGTTACGCAGCTTCTCCTCACGCCTCCATTTGGCTCTTCGGTTAGAGAACCACACCTGCCCATTGGCACATTTTTATTGAAAACCGAAGCTAGACACACGTAACAAATAAACCTAGCACTATTCAGACCATAAACTGTATAATGAAATGGACTAAGGGAGTGTAATGTCACCCACAGCGTTCAGCTCCAGTCAAAAGAAGCTCACGAGGCTGTTATAAGAGCGAATTTGGGGACAAAATGATGAGGCTCACTGCAGCAGTTACAGAAAGAGGGGTAATGTAAAATCATTTGGAGCCAGATTCGATGGATCCGGAAATACCCACACCTCACTTTCTATTTGGAGCGCAGTGGCTAGCAGGTTGGTTACATTGATGATTTACAGTCACTGATTCAGACCAAATCCAGTGTTTGCTGACCTGTATTCTGGCCTCAGGTAAATCGATCTTGTTTGCCAGTCGCTCCCGTGCAAAGACATCTGGGTAGTGTGTCCTCTCAAACTCTGTGGAAGATATTAACTCATGTCAGACTCGCTGTGTGGCTCCTAATGCAGTTTGACAGAAGGACCAGAAAACAACCTCCAAAAACCCCTTGTTGCATGCTGTTAACATGTTTGAGATTTGTCTGTGTATCTCTCATTAAGTATGTCCCAAATATTGTATTATAATTACCTATGCATTTTGCAACAGAGATCAGGCCATTCCCTTTTTAATATCAGAATCACTAATTATCTTGCAATGAAATATACAAATGGGGGAAGAGAGATGTATCCTTACAACCAGATTTGAAATATTTATCTGTTGCACTTTATATCAATTATTTATCATTGTGGAACATGCAGAAAGTTCAAATGAAAGGATTCATGTTGGCTGGGCACTTAACTTCAGGAGGAGTAGAGGAAAGCATGGCTCCAACTAAAAACAAAGTCTTACATGTTTTGTTCTATGTATTATGGATATGTTTAGTGTCTATACTTCTAATGTAATGAAGGCTCATGGTGCTCTAGTGCTTGTTTAGGCTTCTATAAATGATATTCCATGTTGGACAGGATCATTTCTCATTGTGGCAGTTAATTTCTAGTTGACAAACGGCTGACATTTTTGCTTTTGACAAGTTGAAACAAAGTCTGGCCTGACTCTAACTGACATGAGTCATCGAATGAAGCTGAAAGTCAAAGGTTGATAATAATAATAAAGACATGAATGGATTTAGCTTATGTCTGCAGTTAAAACTGTGACAACAGTAAAAACAGAATATCAACCAACACTAGACCATGATCTGTGCACATATGCCAAACAGAACCAAAGTGCATAAAGACAACAGGCTGTAGATTAAGTCCATTCTACAAATTGGTATAATTGGTTGTCTCTAACTGGCGTCTGTGTGAACACATGATTGTTATTGTGCCTTGACTGCGCACGGGGTCAGTGCAGCTCATTAATGTGACCACAGTGATACACTTCCACTCGGCTGCACAGTGGACATTGCGTCCTTATTTAGCTCAGGGGCCCTCTGCAGCCAGCTCTGGTCAGAAGTGGCTCTGTGATCCTCCTCTCTGAGCTAAAGGCCCATCCCGCTGTATCACACCACTGTGGTAATGAAGCACAGTTTTACATACTGCTGTGGGCTCTTTAGATTAGCTTTGTTTGTGGTTCTCATTCATCAGAAGTACAGAGTCTTTCTTGCAGAAACTTTTCTTGGCCCAAATATGATACTGATACTTGATTTTAGACTAGATGTGTCCTCAGTCCACCCCAAAAGAAGCAAATGCCATATTCTAAAGGTAAAGGCCTGTAGGGCAGGCTGCATGGTGTGGTGAGCTCTGATTGGTTGCTTATACAGTGTGCAGTGTGTGAGGGTGCAGTCTGACCTTTCTCCAGAGCCTCGATCTGCTCCTGTGTGAAGCTGGTACGGTTCCTCTGCAGTTTCCTCTTGAGCTGCAGCCTCAGCTGGGACTCCTCACCCTCGTCCCGATCCACAGGCACCCCTCCTGCCCCTGCCCGACCAGAGGCCGCCTCTCCCCCCAGGCCTTCAGCATCCAGCAGGCAGCCCTCAGACACTGGTACACATCAGTGAGGCAAAAACATGAACAATGTACTTCTATAATATAGGTAACAAGGATAGAGATTTGTGGAGCCATGCGGTACACTGTTTTAAACATGAATTGGGTTAGACATTTTCAAGGATGATATAACACGCCCAGTTCACTAAAACCTCCTGATAATTGCCCCGATGTTAAAAATATATAATGAGGGCATTTTATAAACTTATTGCTCATATTTGTTAAAGGTCCCCATTTTAATAGAATATTCAGCAACTCAAAAGTAAAATAATAATGAACTGTACAGTATATCCACACAGAATTCATCAATGTGACATTTGAAAGCATGATGACAGCCATGAAAACTGTTGTCATCATGCTATTTACTTTAAAATGAATCACGCAGAGTCAAATGTTGCCATGGTAAATATTCAAATATTAGTACATTTGTAGTACAGTAATATATGGAAATCAAAGTAAGCTTGTAAATTACAGCTCAAGAGGTAAATCAAAGAGTGAGTGAAGTGTAGGGCCTGTGGGGAGGCTCACCTGTGCTGTGTTGTGTCTGCACGCTGGTGGGGTCATGATACCAGTTGTTAGGCCCACTCCAGTTGGAGCTGCTCTGCAGGTTGAGCATGGTTAACTTCTCATACATAGTCCGAGGGTCCAAACCAGCCAGAAGAACCGACCGCCCCGCCCTAGTGTCACCTTTGGCTCTGTGCTCCTCTGCTCTCCGTTTTCTGTGGTGCTGCTTTGGGGGAAAGGGGGGCAGACAGGGTCCATATCGCATGAGTTCACACATGGCTGGCATTGTGGTGAATTAGCCTCACCATGACAGACAGAAATGGAGTTAGTTACATGGCCGCTGTCGTAACGTGTGTGTGTTATACATTGGTATGCTAGTATACCATGGGGAGAGAAGGTACATTAGAACCCACTCTGAAAGCAATGCCATTTATTATGCTACTTGCTTTTAGCTCTGTCTTTGCTTGTTGGAAAAACCTGTACCCGAACACACACATACGCATGAGGAGACACTTGAGTACGAATGCAAACTGGCATCAAGTGTATAAGAGGCGGAACAATCTCAAAACGAGACAAATATATCAATATTTCTTATACAATTCAACTTAGAACTCCCTATTGCACGAACAGTATCTCTATCTAGCAGCAGGCTGTACTGTTAAACTCCTATACAATGTCAGAGGTTAGTTTATTTTCATTGGTGTTTCTCAAAGCAGAGATCCAATCCATAACTTGATGTCATTCTATAAAAGTGTGTGCTTTATTTTCTGCAAGTTTGTCAATTCATAAGTTTGTGTATGTTCATCATTTAATGGCAGCTACACATAGAAATCAGTAAGAATGTTGGAAAGTCAATTTAGCTGAACTTACCAACTATCCAGGTATGTTGACGCCACGTCCAGTCCGCTGGTCTTCTTTTGGACCTTGATTCTCCTGTTCCCCGTTGGTCCCTTGTTCTCCAGCTTTGTTGACAGTGCTGTGTGTGTAAAGGAGAGTGTAGATGGAGGGAGTTCGACAAGGAGAGAGAGAGAGAGAGAGGGAGAGAGGGGGAGAGAGAGGAGGGGGGGGGGGCTCTGGAGAGAAATGCGTCTGTGGGCACTCTTGTCCTCGGAGCGATGGAGAGGAAGAGAGAGAGAGAGAGAGAGAGAGGGAAAGAGAGAGATAGAGGGAGGGAGGGAGGGAGGGAGAGAGGAGAGCCACCGAGGGGTGACAAAGTGAGTCAACATCAGTGTCAAGTTTGAACTTAATGCCAGCACGAGGAGGAGGAGGGGAGGCCGCCAGAGCAGAGCAGAAAGCACAGATAATGGAGAGATCACAAATGATAAATACATGATGGATTCAATTTTAGCTGCAAATCACACTTTAATATTCACTTAAAATGAAGTGATTTTTTTTTTTTTTTTTTTTTTTTTTTACCGGAAAAACTCCTAAACTTAAGTGAACCTAAATGTTTAAGAATTCATTACTGACCCCTTTCATTCATAACAAGAGTAATCATTTGCAATAAAAACTTTTCATTAGACAAAATTATAATTACCCATAACAAAATGACATACTAATGTAGCATATAGTCTTTAGACCACTGTACCTGTAAAACTACCGTACTCCGTTCATATGCAGAAAATTTGTAATTGCTGAATCCAGTAATTTAAGTTAGACTTGCCTGCATTGTTCCTTGTGTTATTTTACTTTGACACTTTCTGTTTTCAGCCTTTACCCAATAACAGAGTATTGTCAGGTATAAAGGAGCAAACAGATCACAGGGAGAATGACGCAGGTATGATGCTACAAACAGACACTCACAGACTACGGGCCCAGTAGTTTAAATGTATTTGCAGTGGAGGAGCAGGAAAGGAGGAACTGTGTGACTTTGGGGATGGGGAGGGTGCCAGCTTGTTTTATTTCCGGTTGACAAGACTTTGCGCTCCCTTTCTCTCTGTCGCTCCCTCTCTCGTTCATACTTGCCTATTCTTCTGCCCCTCCACCTCTGCTTCTCGTTTAGTTTCCTCAGAGAAGTGCCTAGGAGAAAGGAAATACATGACAAGTTCAAAAGGTATAGACGAGCTGTGGAGTTTACATTTTTTACTTAAGGAATGAAATGGTGCAATAGCAACACAGCTCTGGGAGTTTGTGCTTCACGTCATAATACATATATATTTATTTATAGTATTTAGTTATAGAATTTATTTAAGTAGAAAATCTGCAACTTTAGTTTACAACAGCAGTTTTATATAAATAAATGTTTTTGTAAATTGTTACATTCCAATTATACCAGACATGAATATAAAATTAAATGTTTATTATTTTAACATATTATACTTTCACAACATGCATTTTCAATACACATTTATACACGTGAATACATGAAACTAAGCTAAGTTACTTATTATTTGTGTTGTAATGAAATACAAATATATTACAATTTGAATGCATGTTTAACTTGGTTAAACATTTTTGCTACTTTGTCTATGACAGCAACAAACTTATTATTTCAGTAGTCAACTAGTCACTTGCAAAAGTCAAATCATTTTACACTGACATTTTTGTTACATTATACCAAAAAAGTTGGAACATGGTGACTGAAGGCTTCTATAGAGAATATTTACATATATTAGGAGCAGGACAAGATCTCGTACCACAAGACCTTGCATGAAGAAAATTAGATTAGATTTGTGTTTACATTCAGACTGTATGAAAACTGTTAATTGCTGGTGAGTGCCAGAATGACAAACACAAGCATAAAATAAATACATTTTTTAGGCCAAAATTAAGAGCTAAATTGCACAAATTATATATTAGAAATTGTGTCAAAATCTCATCCTGTCTCATTCTCATGGACCCAATCTCGTTTCTTGTCTTGTGGAAATTGACCCTTGTCCCAACCCTGGTATTAATGATGTAATTTTTTAATTTTGATTTAAAAATGATGCTGTCTTTGTTATAAAATGTCTTTTGACATGTGTCTGTATAGTTCAAAAAGCAATTATGATTATCAAAATATGATCATTAATATTCCAATTATAGTCGACAACAAATATTCTGATTAATCATAAAATCCCAACTGATGGCTTTGCTTTTTGTTATGGTTGTGTAGCATTAGTGGGACTCACTGTATTTGTGTTTTGGTACATTTTTTATGAGTTTATATGCATTTAGTTGTTTTACGCTTTTCATTGTATTATTTTGATAGAAGCATCATACATCATCATGATACTGTGTGGGTTTTGCATTTTTAAATATTTTTTTTTAATGTAAATTTTTATATAATATAAACCACAAAACATTGTAGCTGTCTTTATATAACTGCATATTGTTTTATAAAATAAGCCTGATTTCCCCCCAAATTTCCACTGATACTCCCCTCCCGTCTGAAACAACAAAAATAAAACATTACTCCACTCTATCATTTTCTTCTTTTCTCTTCTATTTTATTCCAAAATCCTGATTACATCTCATTATGCTCAAGTTGTGTGAATATGGCTTAACCTATGTGATCCCTATGTACCCCCCACCCCCTTCACACACGCATGCCAAAGCCACTCTGTGTGCCGACGCGTGCTTCGCTGCAAAGATTCGTGTAGCTCCGGGACATCGCTTTTTTTTCCTCTCTTTTTTTTTTATAGTGCATCTTGTTAGTTCATTCCTGTCACCTCTCTCTCTTCCTCTCTGGCTATCCCTTGCTTTTTCAGCGCTGGAGGGGGGAAAGGGAGGGGCGGGGTGAGGCAATGGTGGAGGCAGTCACCATGGTTACGATGCCACGACAAATATTCATCAAGTTGTTAAAATAAAAACAAACGGGAGCACATTATAATTGCTCTTATACGGACTGGAGCCCATAATGCATTCATATATTATGACTGAGGGGCTTGGGGCAGGGGGGTGGAGACAGTGAGGCACGCACAAGGAACACCCCTATCGGGCGTTAAAAGTGTACAGCGCCCAATGTGACCCCAGAGGAAAACTCCTCCAAACATACTCGGGTACACTTTGGAGAACAACTTCATTTACCTGTTCATAGCACTGCCTCTGAGTACTTTTCTGGGTTGGTTTTGTTCTTTGTCTCTCCATCGGTTGGCTCTTCCGCTGCTGTTGTGTTGCCGCGGGCGATACTGTGATGTGTCCTCCCCGTGTCCCTCCCGCCTCCCTCCGCCGCTCTCTGTCCCTGTCACCTTCAATTGCTCTGTGAAACTAGACACAGTGCCTGGGGCGAGGAGTGGGGTGAGGGGAGAGGGAGGAGAGACAGACAGCATTATGGACATACACAAGCAGTCACTGTCTTATATTACATTGCACAATACAGTACCGATAAACACGGGCTTTCTGAAAATGTTTACGTGTAATTCCAATGTTGCAACCACATCAGCAAAATATCTGGCTTATCCAAATGAGGCAAGTGACACTGTAGCATAAAGATTCGCACTTCTGTCTCACCCTACGTAGGTCCTCTATCTTCCAGGATCAAATGGGAGTTTGCATGTTATTTACAACTAGAATGAGAAATTGTTAGCACGTTATAAAGTTTAAGTCAATTCTAAAACATAAAAAATAGCAGGCGACTTCATCTGCACTCACAGTTAAGGTAGACACAAAGGCTTTATTCTTGTGATCCATATTTCTGATTAATTAAACAAAGTGCGTCTTGTGATCTATATTGCAGTCTGGGATTCAATGGAGTTACACATTACACTTCCTTGGGAGTGTTTCTGGTTCTTGTGGTTTTCCAGAGGAATCTAAAAGTGGTTACGCAGTGTGTGTAAACAGTAGAGTTAGTAACAAGGAAAGATCAGGAAAACCGGTTTAAAATTGGATTACACTCATCATGTAAAATTACATGCCAAAGGTTAATATTTATCTTGATTTGACTGTTTTCTATTTTTTATCCACACTATCAAGGCCTTAATAAGGCTGCCTGAGTTGTTTTAATAACTATCTGGCAGTATGGCCTACATAAGATTCTCAAGTTTTTGGGGTTTTTTTTTCATGGGGAAGGAAACAACAATTTAACATTTGCAGATTGTTTTGCACTGGCCTAAAAAAGTATAAAATGAAATTAATAGGCCAATCTTTTGAGTGAAAATAAATGAAAAGTATTCTTCAACAATCATAGGTAATTATAATCGTGTCAAATACTAAACAATGCTAGGCCTACACTATGCAACTTCTTTATACTACTCTAACGCAAGAAAGATTAAAAAAGGATATGCCTAAACAGGCCTACCTACCCGAAGAAAATAAAGCTGGTGAACTGTAAACGCATCAGTGAGTAAATTACAAACTCTGATCTGAGGGTCTTGTTTAACACAAGTAACAGAAGAAATGTCTTGTTTTGTTTTTTAAACGCTATTGGCTGCTGATGGCGGAGGGGCGCGACAAATGCTCTGATTGGGCAAAGGTGAGCGCAGCACAGCGCAGGTAGCCAGCGCCTTTGTGTTTCTCTCTTCTAAGAATTTATATGACACCGTTGTTCGTTTACGGCCAGTCACGCAAAGATATCCAGTTTTACAGCCATACGCGACCAAAACGCGCTAAGCATCAAGTGGAGAAGACTTTTTTTGGTGATTTATCTTACGGATTGAACGCTTTGGAATTTCAGGGTTTTCGTTGAGCCGAGTTTCGGTGGGCCTTGGCTTTGTAAAGACAGAAGGATTGTTTGTTTAAAAACAGCAGAGTTGATGGAGTTCTCTTCTTTTGCCGTGATTTGGATCGTTCCAGGTGAGCCACATTTTCGCCATTTTTGTTCTGACATGCGCCAAAAACCGTGTTGATTTGATTTCTAAAGGTTGCCGAATCATCATAGAACAGGCAATACTACACTGTTAAGATGGTTGTTTCTTGACATCCTTTCGACTAAATGTGAAATGTTCTGAAACGCAGGTATTTTGTCGGTTTCTGCGCAAAGTTGCGGTCGACCACCTGTGGCGGAGAACAGGATTGTAGGAGGGGCGGACGCCACAGCGGGGGAATGGCCGTGGCAGGTGGACATACAGGTAACAAAATAATGGGGCTGTGTCTTCTGCTTGTGGATAAGATGGTCTTAACGGTGTTTGCCCTGCAGGGGAAATGTAGGTTTACCTATGTGATGCTTTATATCATGTATTTTTTCACCCAGAAATTAACAGAAGGGCACATCTGTGGAGGCTCCATAATAGCTCAAGACTGGGTCCTATCAGCTGCTCACTGCTTTCCAAAGTAAGTAAGACAGTCACTCATTGATCTATGTAGGATATTTACCTTTCTGTTGAGATGAGAGGCCATTTCACAATAATTGAAATGACACTGGTCACTCCCTCTTACTAAATAGGTTTACCTAAGCTGTAGGTATGAAGTTCCTAATCTTTCAGACCAGGATTCAAGTTATGGTTTCAAATGTCAGAGCCTACACTTTCTAGTCAAGCGAGTTTTTAGTTCATATGTTGTTTTTCTTTAGTCCATCAGATTTAAGCTCCCACATCATATATGTTGGTCGCTACCAGATCAGTGGCTATAACTACCACGAGTCTTCCCATCGAATACATCGTGTTGTGATTCCTGATGGTTACACAGAGCCCCACAGTGGGAGGGATGTGGCTCTAATTCAGCTGTCCACCCCGGTCACCTGGTCAGATTATGTCCATCCTGTGTGCCTACCTGCCTCTGAGATGCTCTTTCCCAGTGGCATGATGTGCTATGTGACTGGCTGGGGCAACATCCGTGACAATGGTGAGTAAGTCATGTTTGTGATACCTTTTATATTACCATAAAACCCCTTTGTCTGAATATTTTAAGCTGAATTCATTCTATTGTTTAAGTATAACTGTTTGCATATTGTTTTGGATATGGTGTTATATTCAGGCAGGTATTCAGCATTTTTTAAATTATTTATCACTTTCTTGTCCCTATTGTCCCTTCCTCTTTAGTCCCTCTTCCAGGAGTAGGTACCCTGCAGGAGGTTAAAGTGCCAATCCTTTCCCAGAGGTCTTGTCAGGAAATGTACAACCTAAACCAAAAGGAGCAAATCGACATACTGTATGACATGATCTGTGCGGGATACCAGGAGGGGGGCAAGGACTCCTGCCAGGTATTAATAATTTATTTAAATGAACTTAACTTTACTTAGGTTTTTTTTAACATAACTAGAATTATAATCACCAAATGTGTAACAAGTTATGAGTACAACTTTTATATTATATTAACTATAATAATATGTCAACACTGGGAACTAATATTTTTGCAACAGCATTACATTATAGTGCATTAGAGTATAAAATAACTGTGAAAAAGACAGAACTGGAGACAAGTAGTACACCATGCAGTATAAATCAATTAGTTTTTATTTGAATGTTCAGAGCATGTTGTGTCTCACCAGGGCGACTCAGGGGGACCCTTGGTGTGCCAGATGGGGAATGGGACATGGGTGCAGGCAGGCGTGGTGAGCTTCGGACTGGGCTGTGCTCATGCTAACCAACCAGGAGTGTACTCCAGACTGACGAGCTACAGCAGTTTCATCCGCAGCTCTGTGCCCGAGGTGCAGCTGTACGGCCGAGGTAATCACATGACGCGTGGAAGCACGTTGGTCTTGTTAGGCTGCCTCACCACCCTCCTGACCATCCTTTTCAGATAAAACTCAGACGTTTGGACTTTTCTTAGACCGGTTAATGAAGGTGAAAGTCCACCAAGACTTTAATCATTCTAGTCCACTTTTTGTTAATCAGAGCATGAAGCCATAATGAACACTAACTGTATTATAATCAATAGATGTTTGTGATATAGATTGATGTACTCTATATTAAATAAGTGAAATTAACGAATTGTGCATTTTATAAAGAAAAGACAAATAAAATATGAATTTCTAGAAGTTTTATAATTTTATATAAAAACTGGCATTTCATGTATGATTTTTGTAACTGATATTATGGTATTAATTGAACATGAATTATATGGTTATCAGCTTTATGTAATATCTTGTCATGCCATATTTCAGAGAGTCCCCAGTTAACACACAGCTGATGATAAATGATTTATTAGGCAAGACAACTTTGCATCTCAAATTTAAAAAGCTAGCAAATACATTTCCAACGTAGACATTCAGTCGGTCGTCTTGTGTTTTTTTGTGTGTTTTTTTTGTAATAATTTTGTCAACTGAAGTGCATTTAGGAGTCAGGGGGGATTGTGTCGGAGAGGATCATGGGAGAGCCCAGTTGTAGCTCCTGCTGCAGTGACTCCAGATCAGCCGGAGTCATGCGGTGAACCTCACTCCAATCTGACAGGAGCGAGGCTGAGAGAGGTGCAGAGTCGAAACTGAATCAAAGTAAAAAACAAAATTACTCCTGTTTATTTAATGAAAGGTCCGGTCAGAAGCCAACACGGTACAATTAACATTTTTGTCCTGTGAAATTGATGTAAAAATGTTTGTGTGAAGGTTGAACATATAATGTAGTTTAATGTATAGCAATGGTTGTATTTCGCTTTCCAAATAACTCAATGAAAAAGACTGTTTTGAAAGAAACGTGGGTGTGACTATACAACATAACATCATTACTGCAACCACTGATGATTACCACAATTAGGTTTAGGTTTGCTGAATTTATTTTATTTTTTATTTTTTTTCTAGCCAAATTATCTGTGTTTGTGTTCATTGCCACGGACTGTTTGTATTAAATTAAATTGCAGTACCTATCTAATAAGCAGAAATGTGTCAAAAAATAGATATATACATTTGTGTATTGTGAAAGAGAGCGTTTGTGAATAAATAAAAAAAAAAAAAAAAAAAAAAAAAAAAAGCTTTGCATTTTGCTTTTGATCTCACCTGTCCCGATCACAATGTTGCAGATCAGTGAGAGACTGAGTCAAAAGGTCATCAAGGTCAAATCCCACTCCATAACCCGCCCCACTGCCTTTAGGAGTGACTGAAAAAACTGGGGGCAACACATCCTCCACCTGACAAAGGCAAAAATATTCATATTAGTAGTCTATATGTAAGGTAGAAAGACTCAAATCATTCACTTACTTGGGACTTTGAGAGCTGTAAGGTCACGGTGTGTATGTCTGGGGCAGTGGGTGGGCCCTGCTGGCCTGTGTCTGTAAAGCCGAGGCTCTCATGAGGATGAGCACTAACTTCAAGAGAGCTGGGTTTCTCTCCAACTGATGGACACAGTTTTTCCACATTCCCTATGTTTGTATTTGAATTATTACAATGTGTAGACATACTACTTCGGATGGCAATTTTCCCATTCCTATTTGCCTCTCTCTCAAGCGTCTCAGTCTGGTTTTGACTTTGAGGTTGCACAAAGGTGGTTGGCAGAGGTTGAACTATTCTTTGTGTTTGTTGCTGCGCTGGCCTTGGCTCTAAATTTGGACCACTCCAACTTCCCACACAGTTGAATCCACTTTGTCCGTCATTTTCAGTTTGCGGTTTGACATTATTTTTCACAAAGCCACTAGAAACTGTCACCAGATCTATTCCTCCACTAATGAGCAATATGTCTGCTTGTGGCTTGCTCTGCCCAATGGAGAACATTATTTGAGGTGGTTGTGTGCTTGCTGGTTGAAACATCACATTCTGGTTAGGTTTGGCATGAGTGATGAGTTGATCATGGGAGGGCATCTTCATTAGCTCCTTGTCTGTTTTATTCAGTGCTCCTTGACAGTTGTCCTTCATGGTTACATTGAAGTTCATATTGCAGTCTTTCGATGTTGTCCCTTCATTACTTGTACAGTTGGTCTTATCACTATGTCTATCCATCATTTTTGTCCAACGCTGCAGCAGGCTTTTATCATTGTCGCTGAGCACAACACCACCCAGTGAGTCGCCCTGTTTCCCCTCCTTCCGCTCCTTCTCCTTCAGTTTTCTCTCTCTCTCTCTGGCCCGTTCTTGGCGCTTTCTTCTCTTTTCCTCTCGTTCTCGCTGGCGTTCCTGAGCAGTGACAGGCCGGCGTGACTCTGAGAGGGACGATGCACATGACACACCTCCTGAACTGGCGTCAATACCCAGTAGAGATGTACTTCCATCTGCAAAAAAACAGTGATTTTACTATGACCACTTTTTAAAATTCTATGTCATTATGAAATGGCATGCCATTGCAAGGTGAAACTTTACTAAAAGAAACATATATATTACTGTAAAAACATGCTTTTTATATTTGTATAAAAGTCTGTATTCTTACATACCACCACTAAATGCTATCTATCTTAGCTCTGTCTGATAGGGTGCCAGCTTTGGCCTGACAGAAGAAGACCAGAGAGCACAAGTAAGCCTGCAGAAAGGCCAAGTGAGGGGAGGAGGGGTTAACAAGTTTCACATCTGCCATCTACTGGTGAAAAAAAAATCATATACATTTATGGATGGCAGCTTTTAAGGAGTACTGACCAACTTTTCCAGTAGAAGGTCTGTGGCCTGCTTGTCTCCATGGAGATGTTATTGCTTTGCCTGGAATGTTCCATGGTATGACATTTAATGTATCTATCCAGCATTTATTTATCACTGGTGTTTCTTTTGTGCAAAAATACAACAATTTCTCCTGTGAGTAGGGGCGACTCTTCACAATTCTGAATTGTAATATAGTGTAGTGCTGTAACCTGCTTGTCTCACTTGTGATAGAAAGGTTTAAGCTATACTGTGGAACATTCTAGACAAAGCAATAACATTTCCATGAAGACAAGCAGGCGGCATACCGTCCACTAGAAATGTTACGCAGTGCACCTTTTTAAAGTCACATGAAACAAAAAGGCATGTGATGTATGTGGGGAACAATGTCAATGCCACAACAGAACCTCATACTTGTAACTGTACTATTATGATGCAATATTGTGTTTTAATGTACCCATTATTTTTCCCAAAATAATAGTATATAGTTTAGATGTGACTTGAAATGACAGCAGACTTACCCCCTCTGGCTTTATTTCTTAGAGCTGATTTCAAAATGGCTGCTTTAAGTGCAGCTTTGGTATCTTCTGAAATTGCCCCTTCTTTTCTGATTCCTTCACCTCCATTTGGCAGAGGCCTGGTGTTCTTGGACAGTGACTGTGATAGAGACTGGGACAGAGACTGTGCCTGTGCTGTTGTCAGAGACAGCGAAGGCACAGTGGTGGGTAAAGTCCCGAGTGTGGATGCTGGTGTTGCAGAAATGGAGGTGGGGGCTTGGGTCATGGACTGGCTCTGGGTGGGCTGACTCACAGAGGCCTGGCTGCTGGCCAGTCTCTCCTGTGTCTCACTGTCTCTCATAGTTTCTGGTGCAGTCTCCTGATTAGACACTGGCGTGGTCAGATCTATGGTCTCTGGTTGACCGCTATCTGAGCTGGCACTAGGCATGTCCACGTCAACTGGGCCACTCTCAGGCTTTGTGAGGAGAGACAGGTTATGTTTCACATGAGCCGAGGCTGCTTCTAGGAGGGAGCTGGGCTTGTTTAATGTAAATGTGTTGTTCTCTTTTGCTGGTGCTTGATCTTGTTGAGATTTAACTGGATGGGCTTGTGATACAGTGGCGACCATAGTTGCTGTGACAGTTGAGACCTGAGTATTGCATTGGTTAACACTGTGAGCTGTAGTTGAACTACCATTATTTGCACTCACTAAAGGCCTGAACTGCAGCCTCTGACGACAACCCTGTTTATTGCGGTGAAAGTCTTGAATCTCCATCAAAATGGCCTCTTTTATTTGCTCTTTGTTCATGGGGAGCTTATCAAACTCAAAGTCAAAAGCTGGCACACAAATTGGTTCGTCATCTGGATCGTGGTACTTGGAGAGGTAAGGATGCTCCAGTGCTTGAGTCACGCTTATTCTCTCACGTGGGTCAAAGCGTAACATGGCTCTCAACAGGTCCAGTGCCTCAGGTTCGGCCTGTGGGTACAGTTTGTCCAAGGGAACAGCAGAGCGCGATGGAAGACTCTGAACATAGGATCGAACCCTGTCAGCCCTTATGGCACTAATCAAACCCTCAGGAGGAGTTCCCAGCACAGACAAAATGAGCTGGAGTTGGTGGACATAGTGCTTTCCTGGAAACAGTTGCTTTCGCCCCAGCATTTCAGCAAAAATACATCCTACAGACCACAAGTCAATAGCCAAAGTGTAGTGATTGAGAGAGAGAAGCAGCTCGGGAGCACGATACCACCGAGTTGCCACATATTCAGTCATAAAGGAATGAGACTCTTCAGGATGAGAGCTGAGGCCACGAGCCATGCCAAAATCGCCAATCTTCAACTCACAGTTTTCATTGACTAAAAGGTTGGAGGGTTTGAGGTCCCGATGGATGACATTAGCAGAGTGCACGTACTTAAGGCCACGGAGGAGTTGGTAGAGAAAGTAGCGCGTGTGCTCTGGTGTCAAAGGCTGGCCAGAGTGTATGATCTGGTGCAAATCACTTTCCATGAGGTCAAGCACCACATACCTGCAAAAAGAAAATATTGAAATGATAGATAAATATATTCAAATTGAAAATCTAAACCTACAATCAAAATAAATAACTGATTCTAATTACTTAGTTTATATTGACTAATAATACTCACACAGACTTGAAGGCAGAGTGTGGAAGGTTGGGCTGGAGAATGTCTTTGATTGCAATAATGTTGTCATGTTTAAAATGTTTGAGTATCTTCAGCTCTCGCAATGTCCGTTTAGCATTTGTCACCACTTCAAAAGCATTTGAGATCTTCTTTATTGCAACCTGCTGACCTGCAACAAGGCATACCATCATTGCGTTTTCAATTTTGGGGAACGTGAGTCATGATAATACATTTCACCATTTAACTTAATTTAGTTCCTCCTTACCATTGTCCCGTCTCCTAGCTGATGAAACAACCCCATATGCACCAGTGCCAATTGTTTCAATAATGTCGTACTCTTCTCCAACGTCAAACTTCACGTCGAGGGAGTGTGCTTTGAGCAGAGCCAGGTTCTTTGCTGTTGTGCTGACGTCAGTGCTGGTGCATGTTGTGTTTTCTCCATTTTTCTCCATTCTCTCAGGTGACATGGCCTTAGGTTGAACATTTTTGTCTTCTACAGAGTCCTTAGTTGACATATTTCTATTGATAACACAAACCTGAATCATTATAATTATTAATGTAAATTAATTATATCTTCTAATAGACTATGCAATTATATAGATATTGCTCTAACTCCTGTCGCAAGTAAGGAAATTAAAGTTTTGAAATCTTAGACCAAGTCTGAGACTAAGTCTTAATGTGTTTGCTTTTACATTGTCTCTTAAACAACAGATATGTTAATGTTTGACATTTCTTATTACTTGTATTTCTTTACTGTATGATACTGCTAGTTTTGTATCCATTTAAAACCCACTGTATTACTATGTAATGACTTATAAATGGGTTTCGGTGTGTGCAATTTTGAGTACTTTTCTCCAGAAGATGGAATATTTGGATCAGAATTGTTAATCAATTGCTATGACAACAGTTCTAATTTTTCATCTCCCTGAAACCCATGGATTTCTGTTTCGACAAGAAGGACAGAACCCAAAACCTAAAATCCGAGAGATGATATCATACGCTCCAAAACGCTTTCTTGAAAAAATGAAAGTAGACGGCAACTAATATGGATTTCTTTAAGGGAAGGGAAAGAAAGAGGGCGCCACGATCCCGTTAGGCCTGTTAACCTGTAGCTTTTGGTTAAATTCCAATCTATTAATACTACCTTCCCTGGTAAAACGAAAAAATTATTATTTGTTAAAGGGGAAAGACAGCCTTACCCTCTTGGTGCAGGGGCGTAGGCTGCGATACCTGAACACACGGCTTTCTAAGGACCTTTATTGTTCGGGCTTGTGATTATGTTGTCTATTTTCTTACTAAGCCACACAGACAATGCAAAACAAACGTATTACATGAAAACATATATCTATAAATATAAGATTTTCACCTTCTACGCCAACCACATGGTCCAAAGTTGTTATTAATCTTGTGTTACAGCTTTCTTGTTGTTGTCCACCGCTTCCTCCTAGTTCCGCGTCGCGTTTGAGTGCCACATGTGAAAGACCAATGACAGGAAGAGGTGTTTTAGTATCTGGCCAATAGGAACGTCTCTCCCTATGGAAGGCGGGACTTTATGCCTAACACTGGGCTATTGTATTTTTAGATTGTCGGTGCAGTTTCCATTTAATTCGTTTTGGAAAGAAATTCATAAACCTCAGAAGGACCTAGAAATTGAACAGTTCATATATTATTGCTACTATTTTTTTTTTTTTTACTACTGAGTACCATTTAACTACATCGCTTATTATCATTGGAACCAAAACAAAAACTAATTGAATAAACCATCGATTCCAAACCGTGGACATTGGGATGCAATGTCTAGAATCTCATGCACAGATTAAAGTCCACAGCATATGGTTCACAGTGTACCAGTGGCGCAACATCTGTACTGGCCATAGTATGGTACTAGCCCACCAATCAGGGACACGAACAAAACGCCCAGACCAATCAAAAGTGACTAAACAATTCTTAGCACCCCTGTGAGACTTTGGACACGTTAACGAAAACGGTGGGTGTGCAGGGTTCCATTTCAGTAGATCTTAATCTAGTTGGATTTTATATTTTTATATAAAGTACTTTTTGTTGTAGAAATATGGCTGCAGCTGATGCTCAAAGGCTTCCTACGTGGGAGAGAAAAGCGCGTATAATACTTTGCTTTTTGGGGTTCGTTTTGTCCATCTATGCTCTTCACGTCGAACTGTCCAGGGAAAGTAATCCAGACTATAGGGCAATGTGTGATTTAGGGCAGTATGTGAGCTGCTCCAAAGTTTTTACTTCCAGGTAAGTTAAATGTTGATGAAAAAGGTATAATATATTTTATTTTTTAGTTTTAAGTTGTTCTTTTGTATGCATATATGCAACTGATTCACACGCACACACATATGCATATACAGCTGATTCACACGCACACGCATAGGCCTATACACAGCCCAGCACAAAACATTACAAGTATTTCATCTAACGTAACATTTTAAATTTACAATTTTGAATGTATGTAGTTTTTGCAAATGCATTTCTGTTGTATTTTCAGATGGGGACGTGGATTTGGATTGGTTCAGATCTTTGTGGGACAAGAGAGCCCTTTGAACCAGCCTAACAGTGTGCTTGGCATCATATTCTACTCTTTACAGCTGGGACTGGGTTAGTCTGTCATTCTGCTAATTACAATGTAGTGGTCGAAGCAAAACTGCCTCTGTAGGCAACAGCCAAAGTGTGGTGACACAGCCATCAATTTTTGAATGTCAAATTTGTAGCCTAATATTGTTTTTGTTTTGTTTCTTCCAGGTTTGTCATTATCTCAGAGAGCTGCAGTCTTCTTGGTCTTGGCCTCTTGGGTGTCTGTGGTGGTGTCTCTCTATTTAGCATCTATTCTAGTCTTTGTTCTGGGGGATTTCTGCATGGTTTGTGTGTCAACTTATGCTGTAAACTTTGCATTGCTCTTCATTAATTTAAAGAGAAGGAGAGCACTGAACGAAATGAAGGAGAAAGCTGAATAAAGTATGTGACTTCTACAATGCCACCATATTCATTTAAATTTTACAAAGACTGAGATTCAACAATATGGGGCCTTACGTCCCTACTAGAATGTGCCAAAGTCTCTACTATTGTGAGAATAAACTATTTTAGATAATATGTAGGTAACATTGCTGAAAAGATTAAGCATTACCCAGAAATGGCACATTACTTTGAGAGTTGAAAGCTATGATTTATAGTTTTACCAGTAGATGGCGCCAAGCACAAAGTGTTATTTTATGAGCAGCCTCATTGACGTATACGACCTCTCCAAGTTTAGCAATTAATTAAACAGTTTACATTAAACTCCTCAAAATTAGGTACTTTGATGCTTTGACCAATGAAGTAACGATAGTAGACCTATCCTTTTTGTAAATCCAATTTGGGTTGTAATTTACATGTACATTGTAGTGGGATAGATGTAAAAGTGTAAAAGGGATATGTGATTTTAATTTTGATAATATATTAAAATCTAATTTGTTTATTAATTTTATTCAATATTTGTTCATTATTAACCTTGACATGTTGCTGTCCTAACCACACAAATTCTACATAAAAATACTTCGAAGTTTAACTCAATTTACAAGTGAAATTTATATACATTTCACCTATAAATTGAGTTATGTGACAGGAGTGGGGGTGGGTAGATTAGTGTTCAGTAATAATCAAAGTGTTGAATAGTGTAGGCTAGATCACTGGCCTGATAGAGCGGTAAAAACTGTGACCCCCTGTCATCCAGTACACTGGCACCTATGCGTTCATATAGGCTTGACTCCACTCTGTCCCCTTGTGGCCAAGCCAAATATAGGTTGCCCTGTGCTCCGACATAAACAGTGACCCAAATAAACCCCAACCCAAACAAAACAAGAATGCCTCCTACACACTGGCCCCAATTGTGTAACTGCACAATTCACCCAGAGAAGAGCCATAACCTCATGCTCTCCAAGGGGTCACATAGACCCGAAGAAATTAATTTTTTTTCCCGCTCTCTTGGGGCGGGTCAATCAGACCCAAAAATTTATTTTCACGCCCTCGCCAGGCACTCTCCTGGGAAGAGCGTGAGGGTTAAGTGCAGTCCCCCATGTGTAAGGCTTTACTCTTCTTAACAGGGCTTATTGGAGAACAAAGATAGATATGGGCTTTGCCAACTGTCCATTCTTAGTTTTCAGCTGCATGGATCACACTAGTCCCTTCTTATCTGGGTAAGTTCTCAAAACTCTTGCCAAAATCCAGGAGCCATAAGGAACAGTGTGATCCATGACAATGACGATGTCACAGGCTATATAATTTTCTTGGAGCACTTTTTTCTTTGATGCTGCAGAGGTAAATACTGTCTTGTCTATCTCTTCCAGAACAGGTCTGAGAGATACTGCACCTGTCTCCAACATTTTTTGATGCAGTTGTCATTTTCCTGAAAGGCACCAGGCCAGAGTAGAACGGGCTTCCCTTTGAACAGCAGAATGTGATTTGAGGTAAGGGCCTCAAAGTCAATCGCATCCTGTGAGACTCTTGTTATGGGCCAGTCATTGAGGATGGCTTCCAGTTCACATGGTGTGGTATTCAGATTTTCGTCATTTAGGGTTTGCTGTTGTAAGATTAAGAAGAGCACCTTCTGATGAGGTGCTCTCACATGCCTCCATGGTGGGATGCAGCAGGTGAGTTGAAACCCCAGTTGATTTCCTTTGACACTAGGGCCTGGTGGATCTTTTTGTGGTCTTCAGCTGCCAAAGACTTCATTTGACACACAAAACCTCGGTGACAGATAAAGCGTCTAATGACACTGATACAGGAGTCAGTTGAATGAATGTGCCATCTCAAAATGTATAGCTCGGCTGGTCATACAGGTAAAAATTACCCTGTATCTCTTCACCATCACTCTGCCTCTCCTGATCTCAATAGGCCCAAAATAGTCCACTCCTACATTCATGAAAGGTGGCAGATCTGGACAAATTCATTCGTCCAGCCTGTCTGCCATTTTCTGCTTTGTGGGCTGTCCTCTGTAGTGTCTGCAAACAACACATTCAGAGATAATTTTTCGGCATGCTGAGTTAGCATTAATGATCTAGTACTTCTGTCTTAGGACTGAAAGCATATGATTTCGTCCTGCATGTCCTAGCTGCTGATGTATGTGCCACAAGATGGCATTAGAAACATGCTGTCCTTTAGAGAGAATAACAGGATGCATCTGCTCTTTGGGTAAGGCTGAACGACTGAGTCTTCCACCCACTCTCAGTAAACAGTCCTGAAGCTCAGGGTCAAGCCTATAGATGTCACTCTTGCTCTTAATGGATGCTCCACTCTGCAACTCAGATTTCTTCTCTGAATTTTGCAGGCTATGATCGATGATAGCAGCTTCTGCTCTGGAGAAATCGCTCACTGACAGCATTTACTTAAGTATAGCAGCTCTGGCCTTCTTCAATTCCTTCTCTATATCAATAGAAGTTGTAAAAGGCTCAGACATGACAAGAGAAGATAGCAGTTCTTTCCTTTTTCTGCTTAAGCCCAACAGGATGTTTTTGACCTTTAGGAACACTTTAGGACACTGAGGTCTTTATCTTGGTCCAGCTTGAAAAATAGAAAACACCAGCCTGGAGGTCGGGTCTACCATTTAAGTGTCAATTCTGTTCACCAAAACATCCCTTTTCACCTCTGGGTCTTCAGGTGAAACGAGCTGGGGTGCAAAGAGTTGTGGCCACTCCTATTCAGGCCTTTTGAGGAAGTCTAGGCCATTTATCCACCTGTGACAGGCCATGAAGCTGTCTTCTGTTAAACCTCTGGAGGCTTTGTCTGCTGGATTGGACTTTGGACCATTACATCTCCACTGAGCAACGTCTGTCATTGATAGCAGCCACTCTATTCGCCACGAAGGTGTAAAATTGTTTGGAGTTGTTATTGATATATCTCAGCACTGTTATTGGCCAAAAACATGAATCAGCTGAAGTGATAGCTCCTTTTTTATCATCCTATCCACCCTGGTGGCCAGAACAGTGGGTGAGTTCGAGAAGGTGAACTGTGGTCTGCTTCAGTGGCGCCACTCTGTCCTTTCCCAGCATGAAGGCCAGGTGCACCTTCCCACTTTCATCCTGCTGCCTCAAGTATGACACTGTCCCATATCCAAGAGCACTGCCATCTGCAAAATGGTGGAGCTGAGCTACTCAGGGTCTTCAAAGGTACTGGGCTTTAGGGGTGTGCAAAAATATTGAAATATCGATATATTTTATCGCTTAATGTGATGATACAGTATCAATATCATGAGCTGCTGTACCGATATATTTCACCAAGAGTATTTTTTTTAATGTATTTTACTACATTATTTTGTTACAGAGCTACAGTTTTGTTGCTTGTTTAGTGTTTGGATGATTAAAATGGTTGAGTTTCATTTTAACTTTGCATAACAAGTGGTTTAACAAAGACTTTTAGTATCACAGTCATGATTTAGCCATTATTTTTAATGAACTGTATCGAATCAATTTGAAATATATCATGTTGTCTTGAAAGTGCACTGTATCGAGATGTATCGAATTGTGGTCTATGTATCAAGGTATGTATCATATCGGGAACTTCTTAATGATACCCAGACCTACTGGGCTTGATGCAGTGCCTCAATTTGAACTCCTCCACATTCTGAAGATCCTGTACCCATAGTGTCCAGCACTGAGACATTGACTGGGGAATGGGATTGTCCCAGGATAGATTGTGCCTACACATTTCCTGCTTCAAGAGTGAATGGAGACAGGAAGGCTAATGGGTCAAAGATGGAGCTGACCATGGAAAGAATGCCACATTTGGTGGTGTGAGGTTTTAGTTCCACAGCAACCTGAAAGGTGAATGAATTGCTCTCTGAACACCAACTCAGGCCCAGGGCTTTCTCCACAAACAAAATGAATCGATCAAGGTGAAGCTCTCTGGTTGGCCTTCAGCATTTTTCTTCTGGGATGAATGCCAGCACCAACCGACTATTACCGGTCCACTTCAGCAGCTGAAATCCTCCCTTTAAGCACAAGTCAGTAAGGTCTGCCACACTGCCTCTTGCTCCATGGCCACGGTCTTCAGACAGTCATCCACATAAAAATTGCAGTAAATTGTATTGATTGCCTATTTGCTGAAGCTGTTCATATGGTCTGCAGCAGCTTTTCTCAGAGCATAATTGGCACAGCTTGGGGAGGAGACTGCTCCAAAAATGTGCACAGTCATACAGTGATCCACTGGACTGGCTGAGGTGTCTCCACATTGCCACCACAAAAAGCGAATATAGTCCACCTCCTTCTCTGACAACTTCACCTGATGCATCATGGCCTATATGTCAGTCATCAGAGCAACCTTCTGCACACCAAAGAGAGAAATGGTGAGTTCCGGCCCCTGTATAAGATGGCTATTCAATGAGGTGTCTTTATAGATTGCTCCATAGTCAAAAATCCCACTGCAATGTCCTTTTCCTTTTCAGATACCGTACAGCTCCATCTTTTGGTTCCAGTTGGTCATGAGGCACCACCTTTGTCAGCAAGGTCTGTAATAAATGACCCTCAGTCCTTCTTAATATCCTTGTTTCTTTCAAATTTCCTTTTGATGCTCTGAATGCGCTGCTCCACAATACACCGGTTATTGAGCATATGGATAACATCCTTATTAAAACGTAAGTCCCACACAATAATATCCTTGTTGAATACGCACTGAATTTTAGAGAGAGTACACAGCAAAAACTGGAGAGTTAAAATTTCAGGGTAAAATATTTCAGTTGTTTTTAACACATAATGTTATTTTAACTATTTGACAGTTAAATGGGAGTTAGAGTTGGGGTTATATGCCAGAGTTGATATGGTTGAAGTTAATTCAACTTCCTCTAGTGTTAATTCAACTTCCCCTAGTGTTAATTCAACTTCTGCTAGTGTTATTTCAACTTCCCCGAGTGTTAACTTGGCACCGCCCACCCACCACTTCAAATTCCCGCCACAGAAGACCAGTTTGAACCAGTTTGAACCAGACAGACACAGTGGATTTTTCACTTTTACATGCAGCTCTTTTTGGTAAGTACAATTTGATTTAAACTATATAGACAATTTTTTTTTCACTAATTATAATTATAACTGTATAGGTTGAATTCCTTGTCTTAGAAATTGCTATCAGATGTAACTATAACCCATGGTTGTTAGGATTTGTTTTTTGTTCTCTCCCCCTCCCCCTTTTGTTGCAGAGCTTGAGTGTGGCAGGGGGCGTGGCTGGCTTCTTCCCGAGAAGATGAGACACACCTGCAATCAATTCCTTCATCAGCCTCTGTATTTAGCCCTGGTCTTCTCACCACCACTTTGCCAGATAATTCCGTCCTGTTCGGTGTCTCCGTGGTTGTCTGCCGTTGCCTCTGGAGAAGTCGGCCAGCTCCCTGCCTCCTCAGCCTGCCTTCCGTTTGTAAAAT